GCTGCTCCCCGGTAAGGACAACAGCGCGTGTTCGTTCCCCCCACTGCATACACCTGTGGTCCGGAGTTTTGCAAATATCTCAGCATTTCATACGAGAATTCTCTTTGTTCTGACTCAGTTTGTCACGATGCTTTCAGGATGCCTAGCACCGATTTCTTGTTGTCCTTAGCATTGATAAATAATTCGCTGTTAATTTAATAAGCAAACATGAGCTTGTTATTATACAGTAAATACTTAATCACAACGGCTAACGCTCCGGAGAATTTCTGCTTTTTTACGGCGTGGAGAAGTCAAATTAACTAGTTTAACTAGCATTAAAAAGAATTAATATCTTCTTCGATTACTAAGCTAATACGATGTTGGTGAAAAGATTTATTCGGCAATCGTTTCGACGTCTTCATCTTCTTCAGAACTTCAGAGGCGCTCAAATTCACTGGGACGACACGACCACCAGTGAATCATCGACTTGGATCAATCTGCCTTTAGAGAAGACGAGGACGTGGAACCTTAGCAGAATAACTTTTTCCACCGACATCGTGTTAGCTTAAAAATCCAGTTGGGTATTAATTCTTGGTACCGACGTTAAATGGCGGTCGGTTTGAAAAATATTGATCCACTTCTAAGATTATTGAAGTATTTTCGTAGGTTCGTGTAACACATTGGTTAGAAACACTCTACAATACACACTGCACCGGTCGCTCGAGCGCCTCGGGTTCACCGCGGCTTCCATTCGGGCAAGTTGGTGCCAAACGCGTATGGAGAAGTAAGGGCGCCAATTTGATATAATTTTTTTCATTGATAGGTTTAAAAAGGGGTTACCAAACATTTATTTTTCTAACGTTTCGACATCTTTGTCTTCCTTAGAGCTGACAGTTCTAATCGATGGTCCAAATTTGTTCGTAATCTCGATTACATGTCTTCGTGACGGATTTGATGTTCGGTTGGTTACCACAAGTCATTGTATAGGCCAGAGATGCATTCAATCTCCTATACAAGCTACGAATGGAGTCGAATGCATGGTGCATCCTTCAGGGATTATCCAACACAGTAAGCTTAATCCAAAACTATGGACCGCATCTGTCTACGGTGGTGAACGAACGTGCTATTATCCTTTCCGATGGCTAACGCGTTCACCACCATACCATGCGGGCCCTTCGCTTCGCCTTCATCTCAGCTAGTTTTTCGTTTTCATCGTCCAAAATTTGTAATGGCTCTACAAGCTTAGGCTTAATGGCATATTTTAGTGCAAAGCAACATTCCAACGTATGCTTGCATTGATAAATGAAAGGAACGTAAATAAATCTGAAAAGAACTCAGTCTATAGAAAATTAATAATGCGATAGAAAACAAATGAAGATGAATTGCTGTTTAATTACGGAGACCAGACCCCGAGTGCTTATAACGTTCAGCAAACCCGACATGGGACATTAGGAAATAATTGTATAGAAGACGAAAAACATCGTAAGTCGCATTCGTGCGTTTCAAATGATCCAATTACTAACTGACAGGGAAAAGATCCGCATTGAACTGTTTTACTTAGCTATCCGCTTAGCACTCTATTAGGTTCACACCACAACGACTTCGAGCATTCTACGCATCATCTACACAGCTCGCTAACGATGACTTCTGAAGAATAACCCACACTCACTACATTAGGATGGGCTGCGCACTTCTGACCCTCCGGAAATCTCACGGGCATATAAAACATGCTCAGGAAATGCAAATAAATAATAGGTGGGACATGTAATGAGGAGAGTTGAATACAGTTGGACAAGACAATAAAGTGAACTGGAAAAGCCCTTTACATCACTTGCAAAGTGGGTGAACGAGTTTGTTGCCTACATTAACGAATTGCATATAAAATACTTTGTACCATGGTATAATACTTATGGACAGCGCAATTTTCAAGGTAGTCGACCTCTATGGACGAAGATAGCGATAGGAAGAAACGAGTGGAAAACGTGCTGGCAGCTGGTAGTACAACTGATGATGGACCATTCAAGTATTGTAAGGATAGGTGTTTTAAAACCTTTCAAGTAACAATACGTCACAATTATGTAGACGTTTCCAGATGAAAATGCTTTAACGCTGCTTAAGTGAAAAGAAAAAGCAAATTATTCAGATTATCTTAGCCCTTTTTATTTACTGCCTTTATCTTCTTAATGGCAGGGTATGCTGCGAAATATAACTCGTATGAAATGCTGACATATTTGCAAAACTCCGGACCGCAGGTGTATGCAGTGGGGAACGAACACGCGCTGTTGTCCTGACTGGGGAGCAGCGCACTTCACCACCACACCATGCGGGTCCTTCGCCTTGCATGTATCTCATCTAGTTCTATCGATCTTTTTGCCACAGCAATCACCCGTCGCTTAGTAACCTGCCATGAAAATTATAGAAGGCAGAAAACAAAACGTTAAACATTGTGGTTTCAACTACAGCCATAGCTTAGCTGGGTTCTATGCCTATTTGCGCTCTCCAAATCAACCCCGCTGACGGGTGATTGCTGTGGCAAAAAGATCGATGGAACTAGCTGAAAGGCAGGCAGGACGAAAGACCCGCATGGTGTGCTGGTGAAGTGCGCTGCTCCCCAGTCAGGACAACAGCGCGTGTTCGTTCCCCACTGCATACACCTGCGGTCCGGAGTTTTGCAAATATGTCAGCATTTCATACGAGTTATATTCAGATTATGTACGAGGGATCAATAGTCAGCTCTCCTTTAGTTGTTCGTCAGTTATTCAAGGGAACACTAGTAAAGTATTTAGTCATCTATTCCATCTTTTTGGATTTCTTAACGAGTTTCCTGGCTCGAAATCCACGAAGAGCATTATGTTATATTCAGAAGACGATAAATGATAACAAGTCTGGAGTTGGTCAATCCCAAAAGGAATCCACCAAACATCCGACTACAACAGCAGCACTTTGGAGACTACTGAATGCTTATTTGGCCTACACAGTGAATTCCGCAGCAGATTTTTGTATCAAGCAGGTGTTCGTATCTTCCCAAACATGTCGCTATCAATTTGCCGCCTTCAAGGAAATTAAGGACTTGTTTAACTACGGCGCGTAATCGAACCATGACGACGTGTGTACTACCACCTGTAAGTGCTGCGTCCGCTAAAAGTGTACATTATATTCATATTATATTACGATATTAGCTATCACCTATCTAAACTTTAGCTATATAACATCTAGTCGTGTAAGCAGCCTTAGACATCTGGTCTACAACAATGGCACAGAAGCAGAGGAATGGTGACACAGCAAATAGTAAAGAGGTTAATTTTTGGAATTCTCTAAAAAATCTAGTGAAACGAGCTGGAGAGCTGAGTAATCAGACCGGAAAAAAACATTTCGCATGGAACCAGCAAGATAAGAAATCGGCGAGAAGGGCGTTGGAATCGTTCCTGCACAAGATGCTTCAGGAGATAATGGGATGAAATGATGGAAAGATTTTATCGTTGAAGACTTTTTCTCTAACATGACTAGGTCCAAAGAAACATCAACACCAAGTAATTTGCTACAGATACGATTTCTGCAAACTTGGAATAGTTGGGATTGTACAGTTCTAACATTTCAAACACTCACCAAGCGTAAAGTCCGGATTATACGGTCGTCTAGCTGCAAACATCACCGCACGTGGATCGACCGAATGCTCCAGACCCAAGAGGTGACCGATCTCATGTACTGCAGTCTGTAAAAGAGTTCATATTTAGAAGTGAGACTTAATGTGAAGTAGATGAGCGTGGCAATGCTGATGGTACTGCTCTCCATGGGCGAAATTCTCGATCAGCTGGTCATTCTGCCATCCCAGTTCGACTGCTTTTTTTATATTTTATGTGACCTGTCTTCGCGTCTACTGTGCGGATCTCAGAAATCTTCACATTCGATTCACTTCCTCTCATCCATTGCCCACGAAGCTCTTCCAACTTTTAGGTATGGCTTCGACTGCTGCTTGAAGATTTTCGTTTCGTATTGGCTTTCGTAGAGTGCTTGTCGAGCAATTCTTCAAGGAGTCCTGAGATAGCCGAGCTGGTGCGTTCCCAATTGGATTGCAGAGAGTGCTTTTCCCTCAGATGAGTCCGGTACCAATTTCCCGGCCCCGGAGGGATGAGAGGCTTGGTTGGCCCGGAGTTCGACTACTTAAAGGCTTAATAACGAATAGTTTCGTTATATAAGGTTAACAGCCCTCCACTGTTCAATACTTTTCCTTTACAGTTATTTACTAGAAAAAGACGTAATTGCAGCCTTGTGCAATAATCGCAAATTAATGGCTACCAGAGAACTGGATAATTTAAAGAAATGGTGAGCCATTATACAAATAACACGCGAAATTTTTTTTAAGAAAGTGACCAGGTCTTTTTATCACTTGCAACTCTAATTCTTCTGCTAATGTCCTATTTGGTGGTCTCTCCCTCTCTCTCTTCGTCTGCCTCTATCACCGTCTCCTCTCCTTTTCTCCATATATCTCTGTCTCTGTCTATGCTTCTTTCTCTCCGTCTCTCTTCTTTTCTCCGGTAAACATCGCTCATGCACAAAAATCCAATGTAGCACGGATTTCTACAACGGTTTACTGGCGTTTCTCTTAACAAACCTAATCACTACGGCTGGCTGTGTTCGTAACCTAACACGCATCTGTTCTGAATACTTGCTGAAACACAGAGAACGTTTCTTTCCAGACCGCTAAGCGTTAAGCGCATCATCATATCAAATCGAAACGATCCACACCTGAAATAGGTTCACTCCTTGTGACGAGTTCAAACTCCAGTCTTCGTCTGCGTCGAAATGAAGCCGACCATCTCTAGGGTAGAAGGCATGTGCGACTACGCCGTCTGAAATCTTTTCTGTTTTTTTTTTCATATTCTCGGCTATAGATGATAAACGATAGAGCGTTCGGCGTTAATCAATCCATTAGGGGTAGGCTGTTAAACATCTGAGATGATTGATTGCATATGTAGACTATACAGTGACTTAAGATGGCTCACCGATGTTTCGACTCAGCGTTTTTATTCTCACAAATAAGTTTGGTAGCAATATACCGACAGAGATGAAAGGCCCGGTGAGCCCAAAGCCCGGGGTCGGACTAATGACCATTGGGTTTTTCCATTTGTTGTATAATACCTCTAACCACTGCGCTACACGTACTCGTTAAAAAATATTGTGGTAGGAGAGTTGAAGTTTTAGTTTGACTGAAAGAAGAAAAGTATCCAGAAGTGATTCGAGGTAGTAAAGATATCGAAACTGGTATAGCTTGCAACTGGTTGTGTGGACAACGATGAGTGATCGATATTAATGGAATGAAAGTGTCACTGTTGTGGCTTTATCAAATCACAGTGGAGATGAATTCGTCTTCTGTCTTGTAGGAAAGATGCTGGTAGCAAAAGTCGAAACAGGCTAACCTTACGCAGAGGCATAGGTGAGAGACAAAAGTTTCAAAAATTTGTAATACTTGCTGTTCCACTGAACTCATTACTCGAGACAGCGACCAGCTTTTGAGAATAAAATTGAACGCGAGTTATACATGGTTCTCACCTACCGCTACGAAACGCTGCTCAAGTCCCCTCAAGTTTTTCGAGTGATCACTAGAAATGCCCACATTCGACGTTTTTTTTTTCAATAAGCAGACACGAGGTTGTTATTATAGGATTTGTTAGGCGAGGACTCACCCATGTATTACTCTGCGCGGCTGCTACCCACCAACTAACACCCAATACTTACAACGAATAAATGGCTCTGAAGAAGGCGAAACCACCGAAACGCCAGCTATTGTATCCTAATTAATTCTATAATAACAACGCTGAGGTTAACAGAATAGCCTCCTAATCTGACAAAGAATCCGGCGTATTCATCAGGAACCCCAGCTAAGAGTAAACCAATACCAGGATTCACCACCGTCCTGGTGGTACGAAACCAAGCGCACGATGGCAAATCACCCTCTAATTCACAAGGGCGGCGACTGCCCGTAGTGGTGACGACCTGGGGCAGACTTTGGCCAGACTGGCCTCGGGACCCCAGGGAACCACAATGGCTAAATCGGCAAATCCTCGAAGAGTGAAAATTATGCCGGAGCCCACAAGCAATGAAGGCAGGCCATCCAAATATCTAAGTAAGCAGTTATATAATTTTTGATAAAGATTTTTGAGTTTCGTACCCCGTCGCTAGGTGATGTTGCAAGACAACGAAACGAAGAGGAAAAATGCCACAGCCCACATAGCTCTGATAGCGGGCCATCTAGAATTATCCAACCAAGACTGTATGTCCAAGTTCCCATCATCGTCAATAATTTTGTTTCTGACTGGTTAAAATATTATCGCAGCGCAGTGTGTGGACCTTTTATTTGCCCCCTATTGTTTTTTCATGGTAAGGATGGTGTGAAATACAACTACAAAGATCCTGAGTTGTTTGCAAAACTCTTAAATATTTCTAAGACCGGCTTTCTATTAACCTCGGCATTGATTGATAATTCGATGTTTTTCTTCAGTAACCAGACACGAGGTCGGTATTATAGAATTTATTAGGATACAATAGGCGACGTTTCGGTGGTTTCGTCTTCTTCAGTGCCGTTTATTCGTTGCAAGGATTCAAATTAGTTGGTGGATAGCAGCCGCGCAGAGTAGTACATGGGCGAGGACTGTATCGACAGAACACGTAGTACACTGTGCAGCTGCTATCCACCAACTATTTGGAATACCTAAATATTTGTTATCGTAACGGTCTACTGAAGCCCGACTACTGTCAAAGAATTGTAGTAGAACAGTAAGGATCTTACTTCACAATGTCAGAAGCATGTGCTACTAAATCTCTCCAAAACCCTCCGCTTGCGCATGAGACGCGTAGGAGATTAATGAAGGCGAAAATTTCTGTCCACACTACGATTAATTGATGTTTGTTTCGAATAATACTGAATGGACGAACAGCTTAAGCGATTAAGCCGACGAATGACATTTCGATGATCCAAGAACCTGTTCGCCAATCGAGCGCGAATGATAAAAGTCGGACTAGACATGCCTGGCGATACACCACCTGTTTAATCTGCAAGCAAGGAAAAAACCCACTTCCGATTTAGCAGCTGGTTTTTCGTCTTCAAGGCGCAATTTGCTTTAGTTTCGTATTTCTTTCTTGAAGAACAAGAATTTCTATACTTTCAACAGGGATGGAAAAACAATTAAAACACTTATTCAACAGCGTCATAGATTTGTTGGAATGAACATGCTTCTTACTTAAACCTCGGCTCTCCTATTTGTCCATTAAGATGAGTTGGGTTATACTAGCAGGTAGGAAAACCTGTAGAGGAATAGTTAAATGGTCATATGGTGATCCTCAACTGGAATTTGACACAGGCTAAAAACAGTTTTCGACCAAAATTCAAGACTAATGTAAAAATAAAACTTAAATCATCAAAAGTTTTTTGCTCTTCCACGTGGACTTTGCCGTGAAGGGATCGTTTATGGCGTTACAACGATGTATGTTCTCATAATAGTGAACAGCTAAATTCTTTTCTATTCATTAGTTCACTAAAGCTACAAATGTCCATTTTGTCTGAATCATGGGGTTATGGTTCCGAAGTGTTTTTCTCTGCTAAGCTCCCAAAGAAAAATGGCTTCTTTGGCTAGAATGAACCTGTTCAGGAATAGAAGAAAATCCATTGCAATACTGTAAAATTGCACTTGAATGGAAAGAAAATGAAACTCTTGGGGTTTATTTTCTTAATTTACTTTCTCTAAACTTAATTCCCAGTAGAAATAGAGAAAGAACGTTAGCGAACCGCGCTCAAGCTTTCCCAAAAATAAAAAAACAATGCATTTTAGAAGAAAAACTGTTGGAGTCAACCACTATACTATATAATACCATGAGTTTGAAACTTCTGGGACGTTTAGATGAAGTTTCGCACTTAAAAAAAAGTGGTCAACATGATTAGCTCGAACAGGACAACTTCTGAAATGTAATGCTTCTCTGGAAAACTAGTTAAGTTAGCTTTAGTTAAAATTATGAAAACTATACAACTATTGTCTAGGCTAGAGGATGTTAATCGTAAGGAAACGACAGCTAAGGTGAGCCCCACAGTTTGTTTTTCAACTTGTTTAAAGTTCTCAACGAGCAGAGCAACTCAGTCAGTAGAGGTATGATGGAACTTACTGTCTATGAGAAGATTTACCATATGAGATCTAGATATTTAATACGAGTAGTAACCTTTGCCGTCAAACGGGAATGCGTCCTCATGATGACCGCGTTCGAAGCCGATAACGATGTCAGCTCTGCCGGGAACCTCATCGAAACGAACTGCAGAAACAGAGCTCCATTCATGAAGTGCACGATGAAGAGTCGTCCTAAACACTACTCATTACTGTATATTTTACAGTTTTTGCCATCGTATTCAGATTGAAACGAGTGACATCCATTTAGAATCGTTATAAGATCTTCGGAAATAAAACATTTATGCTGTAAAAGGAAGTGGGTAGCGCAGTGATAACTTTCCGGTTCACAGCGACGGCGGCTAAACCTACACAAACTCTCGTTCGGCCCCACGCCGAAAGCATGAAACCTTGCTTCCCACCATGGTCGGAAAATTGGTGCTAGATTTTCTGGGACAAGATCATTTTTTTGGATCAAGAGAGGGGAACGTCATAGGACGGCCATCCCTGGAGTAGCATCCTCCAAGTAGAATAGATTTGACCAGCTATCAATGACATTCATTACAAAGAAATCCTGAAGCATCAGCCGAACCCATGCTCAAAAAGTTTGGAGGGCTTCGTAGATGGTGAATGCAAGGAAAATGAATCAAGTGCGAGAAGTGCCGGGATCTGCAGAGAGTGATAAATGTGGTGTCGGGTCGTGCAGTAATAACGATAATAATAGTTACAACAATGACAGTAGTAGTAATAAGACGATATTAAGTAATTGATGGTAATAATATTAATAGCAATCATCCCAACGGTTTACAGCCTCATTGTGGCTGGAAAGTGTTCCTGGGTGTCGAGCTGCGATGTACAGCAGGGAGATTCATCCCACTGGCAGGGTCTCCCAAGCTGAGAAGGTGTACGGCGTTTTCAACAGGAAGCGTAGCTAGGAGTAAACCAATACCGGGATCCACCACCGTCCTGGCGCCAGATTAGTCGCATGGTGGCAAATCTCCCCCTGATCCAGGAGGGCGCCGACCGCCTGTAGTGGCGACGACCTGGGCCAGAACTTTGCTGGGCCGACCTCGGGATTCCAGGGAAGCGCAATGGCTAAACCAGCAAGTCTCCGAAAAATGGAGATTGTGCTGGGGTCCGCACAACCAGTGAGGATGGGCGATTCAAGTATTAAGTATCAAGTATTAATGGCAATAGTAATGATAATAATAATTGTTAACGAAACTTCTTTTGTTTGATTATTCTAAAGGTGAGTGTGCTGAGGTTTGAAACGTAGCGTTGGATAAGCCTCTGCTTAGACTTGAATGGGATATTATTGTTAAACTTTAGATGTAAAGGAAAACAACGGCTTGATGAAGATCCTGCTCCTTTTGGACTCTGTCGGCTCACAAAGCTAAAGTCATTCAGTTATTTTCAAACATATAGGAATCTCCTGCTCAACTTTTTCTAAACTTCGACGTAAGTCAAGCATCAAACACTCATCTACTGATTTTATGAACACGATGGTACTTACTCAGGTAGTCAAGCAGTGAAGAGAAATCTAAAGGCGCTCTCGAAAGAGTGCACATATGAGGAAAAGTTATTTATGAAACCTCTTGTCTCCAATATCTTATTCTCTACTCAATCCTCTCACGATATTTACATCCTACACGGAATGTTTTAGAGATGGCAAAACGACAAACATCCGGATAATAGCTGTGCAAGACGTAATCTCGACGAACTTCGGAATTTCCCGTGGGAATGAATGCCCCTCGTAGCTTCATCCCATGTTTCTACATGTTTTCTTTTTGCAGTATATAGACGAATTGCTGCTGAACAAAACAAGAGAAAAGAAAGTATAAGAATCCAGTTACCACGAAAACACCAACATACTGGCCGAATACCTCTCGATCGATAGTGATCGATACGAAACCTGGGATTCTCAGTCAAATAATAGCTCTGGTAAACAGGAGTCCTAGCTGGCTGGCTGTCTGACTCCCATAAAACTTGCCAAGAGGTCAGGAGGACGGGTTAGTCGAACTGACTCCACGTCATGGATATCCTATCGCCGTAAATCCGCCAATCGACTATAACAGCTCTGTCTTTTTTTATCGGTACGATCACATTCATGATAATCTGCTTCTTCCTATTACCTAAATCCCTCTCTCACTTTTTTCCTTTTATTTTCAAATTATAACTGAATTGAAGTAATCATCGATCGAAGTCCTATTTAAAAAATATTTTTAAAGGTGACATTCTTTAGCGCCACCACAGTTAATCAGTATCCGCCTACCTAAGCTTATCAATAAACCAAAGTGTATACCTGTAATTTCCTATCATGCAGCACTAAAAGAAGCAAACAAATAAAAACATTAAAGTAGAAAATAAGACAATATTAAGCTGTGATCTACAAAAATCGATACATTCTAATAATTATATCTATGGGAACCCTGTAGATTTTACTGAACGTCTTTTTTCCTACAGTTTCGGGAAAAAGAAAAACACTGGTGTCAGAAGCATGGTTTCATCTGATAGTGTACACCGCTAGAAAAGATAACAAATAAAGAATTTATTGCCTTTGTTTCTTTATTATGTTTTCTCTAGCCAATCAGGCATGAACTATATGTGAAAGTAAATCGATAAATTCCATTTGTCTGCACTTGTGATATCACCTACATTTTTATCATTTAGATGATCCAACATCACGTATTGTGCGGATCCCAGCAATTCATCCATTCGACTCGTTCCCTCCCATTCGCCATCAACAAAGGCCTTCGGATTTGCGTGTGGGTTCGGTCACTAGTTGAGGGTTATCTCGTTTTCATCAATGCCCTTGTGTACCCGTCAAGTAAATTCTCTCTGCAACGCGAGATAGCCATGCTAAGGCGCTCCCAAGCCTTCATCGCATGCGGCCGCCTGCCTCCACGGATCTGAGGAAAGTCTCCCGAAATAAATCCCTACATGTTCACGACCCGGGACCGAAATGAGGTCTCGTTGATCCAGGGCTGCATCGGACCAGTGATACTGCGTGTATTATTGAACGGCACCTCTAGCCATTTCGCCTTTCATTAATCTGTGGTAATTACTGATAATCTGCAAGTTCTGGTTCAAAAACATATCTGAGTAAAAGTACGCGACGTTGTTGAAACCTTGGAGAATTACTGGTTTGCTTAAGGCCTAAGAATGGCGACGGTGACGATGAGAACATTCAAGTCCTTAATAGCGTTTACAGAGAAGAAAAAGGAAACCGTATCGCACGAGTCGTTAAGGAGGTTATTTCGACTCGTCGACAAGAAGATTTCAATGTGTGGTTTCAAAAGAAATTTATGGAATGGACCGCATGCATAAATGAGTGACTGCAACGAATGAGTCAAGATGGGAAAATGACTTGAAGGCAGGCACCAGGGGGGTTTCGACGCCTCCGACTTGAAGTCGACCTTGGAGGAGCAGGAGGAAGAAGCGCAGTTCTTCAGTCCACTAAGTAACGAAGAATTCAACGGATTCTCACCTTTGAAAACTAAATCGAAGCCAGTACATTGCAGTTGTTGCTCATCAACAACGAGTTTTATGATAACGTTGTTATCAAGCGGTTGGTTCAACATGAGGACAGCTGGTTGCTGTTGTCGTTGTCATTAGACCTCCGATCGATTAATCGACTTTTTCCGTAGGTCACAAAGAGCAGCAGAAATCGATTTCGCACAGAAATCGGAAGAAGGCTCAAATTCAATTTCTTCTAAGTAATAGTTTCAGGAGAAAACGGTTCATTTAACGAAAGGAAAACAACATTTAAAAAACGGTTTGAATAAGTGAATGAAATAACTAAGAAATTATCAATATATGGGCAAAAAACACATCAGAAGGGAAATGAGATGTCGTCGTGACGGAAACAGCTATTGTTGCGTAACTCTACTGCAAGAAGGACAAGCTCTCCGCGTTGATCAATCCCCGAGGAATGCGCCATGCATTCGACTTCATTAAGCATCGTTTGGAGGTGATTGAATGCATATCTGGCCTTTACAATGGCTCGCGGTGGCCTACCTATGTCGCAAACCAGTGTCGCTATCCTCCCAGACAAGTCTGGTACCAATATGCCGACCCCGGAGGAATAGAAGGCTAATTGGGACAGGAGAACGGGGATCGATCCCATGTGTGTCGCAGAGCGCCTCCGGCCACTGTGCCACACGCGGGATAGTATACTGCGAAACTATAACGAAAGCAGTAGTCTAAAATTTCGTAAAGTTCATTTAAAAAGTTTTAAAAACTGCCAGAGAAACTTAAAAATATTGATTGATGTGAGCAGGTTACCAAAAAATACCGATTCTTCCCTAATGTAGCACAAAAAGTCGCTCTGACCTAATGACGTATTCATCTTCTTCCTTTATGTTCCGCTTGTCCAACCGCCATGTAAGGAAATTTCGAGTCCATCTTTTTTTGCGGACCACTAAAATTTTATGAAATCAGTTGGAGACAATACAAATGAGAGCAGTGAATCCCAACCCACAATGCCTCATTCAGAAAATCACACAAATGGGGTGCAGTTCTTTTTTGCTTGTCGCCAAAATTATTGAAATGATTTTAGGTCCCTTCCGTTTAGAAACTTATTTGATGAATAGCGTAAGGAGCATGAGATCAAAAGACACCGAATAAATACTTTGCTGGCTCCTCAACTGGACATAAAATGAAAACGAAATTTGAAGTAAAAAAGCAGCCTTACAACGCCTATACATACCGTATCTCTTCTTTCTTCGTAGTGAAATCGATTCTAGCTCATTGAATATTTTCTCTTGGACTATTCGGGGCGGTTCATTGCCAGTACTGCGTTTTGTCCGTGTGTGTTGAGATGTAGACGATGAAAACGATAAATCATCAAGAGCGTGAAGATGTTCTACAGCAGAGACGACGTCGACAAGTATCAAGAATAAAGACAAGGGCAGCATTCGACGAACAAACCGGACGACAACAATGGGCGCGTCGACGGCGGCCAGTCAGCGGCCGGCCGGTTCAACGCCTCGGGGCGCCAGGCAGGGAAAAAGCGACGTCGTGTGCAGAAGACACCCAGGAAACCAGCACTTATCAGTGCGGTTTGATCGTTGGCAATGCTATTGTGTCGATGAAGATACCTGCTACTCAACCAGTACCGTAGACGCCTGCCCGGATTTTCATGTAGACATGTAGATGGTTGTTATGCGACCGTTATGGAGATTTTTTGCATGTAACGCTTCGCCGTCGCCATTTAGAAGAACCTTCAAGAATATAGGATAAGTCATAATTGTCGAAGTTATGACGTATTAAGTAAAGCTTCAATAAAAGTCACTGCGTAGGCGTGTCTGTTAACGTTGGACAACAAAAGCGAATAGAGTTTTGCGATAACCATGTAAAATTAATTGATACTAGAATAGTAGCGGTAATAAGGATCATAGTGATAATAACAGGTGCATTAATAATAACAGTAGTGATCAAGTCATATAACAAGATCAAGTATAAGTTACTAGAAAAAACACCGAAAGTGATGAAGATTCCCGTTCCAGCCAATTTAGGCCTAACATCTACTTGAGCACTATTAGGCCAGCTACACTTAGGAGATACCAAGTTTCCAATGGGGCGAATCGTTGAGATAACTTAAGGTGTTTTTGACGAAAACATCAAAAATAAAGGGCCTCTTACGAAAGGTCGCATCCATTGAATGGTACAGGCTTCAGAACGGCTCTAGCTGAAGACAGTGAGTGACCTATGGAGGACATTAGTGCTACTATTCTATCCACACAATGGTTGAAGAAATCGCAGATGTTAATAAACTACTGGAACCACTACAATTTTAGAATTCAACCCAGATACGTCAAAGCACAACAGTGTCGAGGTGATGAGAGGACTACGTCAAACAGGAACGCTGGCGAAGGTAAGAGTAGAGAAGAACTCGGCGCAATAACGATGTGAGCGAAAATGTTGGTGCTTCGATATTTGAGAATAATGAAGAAAACATACAAGACGATCTCGTAGTAAGAGTGGACGATCAGATCTTTTTGTCGTGTCTATGATTTCTAGGTCATAGAGAAAGTGCTACTTTGCAAGTAACCGTAGCATGAAAAGATACACATCAGTGCGACAGGAAAGTTGAGATGTTCGTTTTAAGAATACGTCCAAGAGAGGACCATATGTGGTTCGTCCTCAGCTGAACGCGAATTAGGTTTTGTGGAATTTCTCAATAAACTTTAGCCTTCTAGACTGCACAACGTTAAATGAGGTACTGCAGAGATGTATCCAACTCTGCTTTTTTTGTTCTTGTTCTTTTTTACAACTTTCGAATCAGAATCTAATAGGGAGTGCCCTTTCTTCTCGAGTAAGCAGTTGGAGCTTCTTAGGAACAGCCGATGGACGTTGATACTTCTCAGCATTTCTATAATCAAGTCTGAATGAGACGTTTGTTCTCTTATGAAATTATCGCGGTCGTTTTTGATGAGTTTGTTGCTAGAAGATGTCAAAGAAGGCTCTGGCTAGTGGGCGGAAAGCTAGGTCCAATTCCAGTTCAGATGGCGAGAAATTTGTCGAGATCTCTATCAAAGTGCGACATATCCCGATCAGATCATCCTGTTATAGTTGTGCGAGCAGACACCGTGACAACAAATTTCGACCAGGACGTAAGAATACAAAAGCTATTATAGCTATTATACTAGCTATTATAATTATAGGAATGAAATTCAGCAGGGAAATATGAATAATGCTTGCAACAGTATATTATAAAGAATGTGATCTAATTCAGTAAGATTGGGTGCGTTCAACGCTTTAATTAGAGGTGCTCTGCAAGGCACACGTTGCCATGGGTTAAATTTCTCATACTTACCAAGCCTCTATATTTACGGGTAGGAAAAATAGCACAGGATTTCTCTCGGGAAATAAGACACTAAACTGATACGACATTTGTCACCAGGGAGTCATTCTAAAGGCCAAATATGTATTGAATCACTTCCAAGATGCTTAATGGAGTCGAAGACAAAGCGCATTTCTAAGGTATTGATGAGCGCTTCTACTTTGGTATCTGCAACAACTGTACAAAACGGTTCCATATTATGTCAGGGTCCGTAGATATGTCGTCCGAACGATTCCTGCTTTCGATGTGAGGCATGGTATCGTATCGTTCGAGAATTGCATCGCTCTTAATTCCAGCTGGAAGTAGCCTATACATCAGAAGAGCATACAGCTAGTTCTCGCCTTCTAATTCATCATGCTAAACTTCAGAAGGCTATTTCCTAGTGGTTGTAAAACGAATCCGGTGTAGTTTTGCAATAAGGGAGACAATAAGGCGTTGTAAAACGAATCCGGTGTAGTTTTGCAATAAGGGAGACAATAAGGCATTTACACGATACTTGCTGTGTCTTCACATGAGCAACTAACCACTAGGCGGAAATCGGGTGTGCCTTTAAGCAGGATTTTGAACATTGTTCCTTTGTGGTCAAGACAGAAACTACATCACGAAAATTCTATCATTTCAGAACGACGTTGTTTAAATTGCATACTATAAGAAGAAAGAAGTTCGACAAGCGATACTGCCTGCCATGTTGGCTTTTCTATTTGAAAAATGTTTCCAAAAGTGGTGAAGATATATTGAAGCTAATGAGTAGCAACTGCCCTGTCTTCACTGTGAAAATGAAGTGTTTTTATAACATTAATTAGCCCTAGCCCTACAAATTGTATTTTGGTCAGTTCCTACGGCATATGAGGAAAGATCGGCCTTCAACTGAAGCTGAAGAAAGCAATGACGACTGGAAACAGATTCGTTTTTGAGGTCCTAATTCACGTATAATGGGGTTGAACGTTTGAATGTTCCAGATGTAGTCATCTAGTTTGGGTAGTTAACACGGTGAGACAAAAGGAACCGAGCGGCTTGAAGAAGAGAAAATGCATCCTGATCTGTGCCCTCACTTATTACTCGGCGACTCTTCCTCCCTCAACGCATTCGTGGCTGTGTCAATCAGACATGACTAATACAAATCGAAAAGAATGGTCGACTTTTTTCTGGGCTTTTCACATTTTTCATATGTCGCGAACAATGTGTAGAACTCCATTTATGAAGTCGTTCAACATGTCGAAGTCACTCAAATTTAAATTACTAAAACATCGTCGGGATGCGTTAAGTCCAATAGCAGGAGGCTTCGGAAACCCTCCAGGTTCAGCAAATTGGCAATCCATATGCATATATATATATATATATATATATATATAATTACTATCATTTATTATTACGTGACCCGACACCACTATACATAGTACAGCACTTTTTGAATTCGATTCCTTTTCTCATATTGGTCACCCTAGAAGGTCTTCGACATTTTTCTAGAGTGTGGCTTCAGCTGTTTCCTGATGATTTTCTCATTTTCGTCACAAGTGTCGTTGATTGCTGATTGATCGAGCAGATTCTGAAGTAGACGCTCTTGCGCGTTCCCACATGGTTTAAAAAGAGTAGGTTTTTCCCAGTCAAGTCTGCTTGCAATCGCCGATCTCGAAAGGATGAAAGGTTTTGTAGCAGCCCCATTGCGGGATCGAAACAGGGTCTGGTCTGGGTACGTTTGATCGTCGACATTGAACGGGATCACCACTGCTGCGCTACCCGCTCTCTGCATATATGTGTGCGCAGATTAAATATATACATATACATATATATATATTTATATAGGTGCATACACAGATATAAATATATATATATATACATATAGACAGATATTCATGTGCATATATATACATATATGTATATATACATATATAGATAACGTATCTGCAAATCATGTGTGTGACCACCATCTAGTAGCGTGGTTACAAGATGCATACTTAGATAGGTAATAATAGACCAACAGGATTAGCTCTCGTTGCCTTAACTAATGATCAATCTTTTGTACCCGTGTGAACGTCACAAAAGCGCTTTTTCACCAAGGCACTTTCCATCGTCTTATCTCTGAAACAACTTCTTATCCCCATAGCCCTACCAATTCATCACTTTTCTCGCTGTTTTTGCTTGTTAGATACAATTTTACGATTCGTAAACAAAGTTAATCAGCTGTACCCGCAGCTGCAAGCTTCAGAGGGTTCCGAACTGAAATCCATTTCTTACTATTAATGGCGTCATAGTCACCTTCGCCGGCGATCGTCTTTGAGACATGTCCATTTTTCTCCTAAGATAATCACTTCAATAGCAAATTGAATGTTAATTTTACTCGTTTTTTTTACACAATTCGTCATTACATCTACTGGGTGGGTCCCATACCTCTTGCATTTGATTCGTTTTCTTCACATTCATTCTTCACAATGGTCTTCGAACATTTCGCGTCTTCGGCTTCTTCCTGAGAATTTCGTCTTCTTTATGACTGTCGTAGAGGGTTGCTCAAGTCGATTCTTCTCGCCACTTTGGAGACAGCCGAGTTAAGGTGTTGTCACGTAGACAGCAGGAAAGCGTTAGCCTGAGAGGGAGGTGGGGGCTCGAACTTGCCACCTTGATTCTTGGTCAACGGGTTCGCAATCTACTGGGCTACTGACTGATAAAGTCGCTGACTTGACACATCGCCAGGCATCTGGAAGTCATTCATAGGCCAAATATGTATTCATTTTCCTCTGCAATAACTGTGGAGGTGAACGTCTACGCATCTCTGAGGCATTCACCAACGTTGAACGCTTTATCACTCATGGAGAGATGATAACCACAAATAAACTACCTCGATGTGTGGCCTAGCTTTACTCACGATTAGTTCCCTGGAGCGGAACGGACATAGCTCAGCATACAAGGGACACTTTGGCTCAGTGGAAACAGAATATCCATCCCTTGAATCCACTTGCTTCTGAGGGAAAGTGCGAAGCTGCGTTTGACTTCACATCTGTTCGACATATCTCATACTCAAGAGGTGTTGTAATGTGACGGAATGTCGAGTGAAAATTTTGTGAAGCAGAAACTCTGTCATTTAGGTGGTGTTCTCTTAAATCTTTCACTTATTATATCATCCATTTCATCAACACACTACAGGTAAAAAAGTCCGAATCGTGTGGAAAAATCTATAAGGTTGGAGAACATAGTCAATTTAACATTGCTTCTGCAAAGTCGCAAGTTCTATGCGAATCTCAGACGTGACTCGTTGTTTGCGGTTTGTATGGATTTGAACCTCCCATAGAGTACTGTCGTATGTTTTTGATGAGGTGCCTGCCCTCAACATTGAAGCTGCTGTGATTCTTAACAGTTCTGTTCTCCTGCAACTTAATTAAACCTGAAAGAATTCAAACAGAAGCACGTATGGTCGAGTGCCTAGAGCGATGTGGATAATCCGATTCTGGTTAGTTCTCAAGATAGCAATGCTAAACCAAAGAAAAGCGGCTAACATAGAGGATGTTTTGTTATATATTCTATATTATATATTCTATACATATTCTATGCTGGGAATAATATAACCACTTCATCAGATCTCTGATCCTTTCCACATTACGAGTTCACCCTGGTCTATAGTGTCCTCAACGATGAAGAAGGAGAAGCTTGAATTACCGAACGCAAAGAACTAACTACAGACGACTGCATTGTTTCAGCACTGAGTTGACAAGGCTACTAAATGAACAGTTGTTCGACATAAGTCAAACGAGTGCTGGCAAATCGATTTTAACTATGCCAGCCAGTTTAATCCTATTATTTAGACTTGTATACTCAGTAATACCAGTTTTTCACAGTCCAATTCACTTCACAACAACTTCGCTCACGACTTGACATTTCAAAATCATTTCTCTCGGCAGAAGTGCTTCTTTTGAATCTCGAAGTGATTCGAAGAAAATGATGAGCAAAGTCTCACACAGATGGAACAATTTCTAGTGGCGATGAGTAAGAAACTATCAGGTGGTTACGTCTAGGTGAAGCCACTTTTTTGCCTAATTGGCAACAATAAGGAATACATCGAAATCCAACGATGATCTTGGTTGATTCGTAAGAAATCCGCAAATTAATAGTGCTGAACGAATGGCTACCGTGCCCGGGAATCAAGTTTTGTTAGTTGGTCTCCAGAAATCCCGTTCCATTCTACAGAATAAGTAGCGCTCGATGTGACATTACCACGCCTCCCAATGGTCGGAGGTTCACGATTTTGTGTTTATCATCACATTTTATCACCAAAGTCAGTTGCTCAATTACTAGATTCTCAAGTGTTCCGTACGAAAGAATGAAAAGAAGGACTGAATAAACGGTGATCACAGCAGAAAAAAGCGATTTCCGCCCTTTGCCCTAGTAAATCGTCGATCGACGGGGCGTGGCACTGACTGAGGAGTGTTTGTGTGTGTGTGGTATGTCACACGCTCGCTCGCCCATGTCTATAAAAACCACTCTCATGTCGTACTTTTCATGATGATCGATTTATTACAACTTATATATCTATATGTACTTTTTAGCTTGCAAGATTACCTGAACGGCCCACCTCTACTAAGTCATGCTAACATTAGCACAGTTTGTTTGCTGTTCGAGCAAGATTTTCGCTCTCTAGGGCCTCAGGATAGTCATACTGTGACTTTCCTATGTCTACAAGTAGTCCTTCCTAGTGAATTGTCGGAAGATTCCCACCTTAAGGCTGCGCTGCGACCAGGATGACATTGATTTTTTGCATTGGTTTTGTGCTCCTAGATGGTCTCCCAGAAGGAGACACTGGGCTCCTTTTCAGCTTGGGAGACCATGTTAGAGAAAGTAATCCTCTTCCGCTATAGATGGTAGTGGTGGGAAGTACAGTGACAGTAAACATCAGCATTATAATGTGTTCTTGTGTCGAAAAACAACCTTGCGAACTGGTTTTATTCAACATTGCTCACGCATAAGAACGTGAATGAACAAAAATCATTGCAGTGGTGTAATGACCATGTCGACAATTTTGATAAGGTCATTTCTTGGTGATAGTCAGACGTCCAGGTCAGATTACGTCTTCCGTTCGTTTCCTGGTCAACTCAGCTGTCGACTAGCAACGTTTTTCACTTCCTACAACTCTATCTGTACTCGTCTATTCGTTATTCTCTCAAGTATTTATTCTTAATCGTCGAATATTTTCAGAATAATGGCTGAGTGTCTGTCATTACGTCCAATGAAAAGCGACGACTTTCAAATCGTCACAGAAGTCGTCACTCATAAACTCAACCATATTCCTATTTTCAAGGTTCGTCTTGACGCTGATAAGAATCTGTTTTTCCGAAAGAAACAGGTGGCAATGTTGGTAAATATGGACAACGAAACTCTCCAGAGATATGTCGAGACGTGTTTTCTACGAACAAATACTTCAACAAACCAATAAGAATTGTTTCCTTGTCATACTACTTAGAACTTATACACTTTCGGTGAAGGTTTGGTCGCTAGTGAATAAGTTAAAATAGTAGGTGCAGTAACGTTGTCGATGGTTTCCCAGTTAGTGAACGTAGGGTGGGTGAGAGTTCAGAAAAGTTTCTTTCCTACGACGTAATTTCATTGTTGGCTCGAGACAGCATCAAGCTTCCTGGCTTCGTATATGTGCGGTTTTCTATGTTTACGCGTCCTCTTATCGATTAGAGGGAAAAGCCCTGTGGAGCTATAAATACGGCAAATTTTCTGGTGACGAGTGAAAAATGACAGGAAGTCAAAAAGAGAGGATGACGGAAGACGGAACGGATGATGTTTCTTAACAAAAAAAACCTCTATAGAGTTTTTTTTCCTTTAATAGCCGATAAAATGAGTTGAGTAATTTCAGGGCGATTTCGCTGGTCTAGCACCAAAAGTGCAGCGTTTCGTTGCTGAAAAAGCTGAACTGATGAATCCAGCCGGTATTTTCATTTGCGATGGCTCTCAGAAGGAATTTGACGACATCGTCGATAAACTCGTCGAAAGGGGAGTGCTCACTCCACTCAAGGCCTACGAAAATAAGTAAGCGTCCATGAAGCTGGACAGAAATCACCAGCGAACTACGTAGAGGGATATAACTGGTTACTTTTGACTGTAAGCAAAATTTCTAGGAATAAGATTGCTGAAGTGACAATATACGTTCTTGCGGTACTTGAGAATATAGAACCCTAAAATTCTTTGAAAAATGTGGATGAATTGAGTGTTAATTATAATAACGTCAACGTCCATAGTTATTTCTCCGATTGTGATGATCTAACTCTTCGGTGCTATACATTAGTGAAGGGTTCTTTTCTTCCTCAGAGCATGAGGACAGCAGTGACTTCTTATGGCATCGGTGAAGATCCAAACGTTTATTTTGTTTATTACGGCATTAGTCATCGAATCTAAACCTGAAATATAACCAAGATGCAATCGTAGATTCAAGATGAGATGATAAACGTGTGCTGAGTACCTCTCAGGAAATCAGGTGCGTAGTGAACCCACATATGTTTATTGGTGTGAGCAGTTTTTCAGTGCCCAAGTAATGACAGAAAGCTGGTTTTGGGTATTATTTTGCAATATATCAGCCGTAGCATTCCGCCTATAATCGGCGTTGACACTTCTCGGTGTTATTATACTCCATTCGTAAAATCGATTATGTGAACTGTTTCGATTCCCCAGTAGCCCTGTAGATGACATAAAGTTCACATGGAAAGTGGGAATGTATCGAGAATCATCTGAAAACCTTAATGAAGCTGAGATATTGGCAAAACTCCGGACCGCAGGTGTCTGCGGTGAGGAACGAACGCGCTATTGTCTTCCGGAGAGTAACGCGTCCACCACCACACCATGCGGGTCCTTCTCTTCGCCTTTCTCTCAGCCGTAATGTTGACCTATAGGTGCTATCAATAATTGACGAATGATTGCTTATAGCACCTATAAAACATGGCTAAGAGAAAAGCGAAGCGAATAGTCCACACGGCGTGGTGGTGAACGCGTTACTCCCCGGAAAGGACAATAGCGCGTTCGTTCCCCACCGCAGACATCTGCGGTCCGGAGTTTTGCCAATATCTCAGCCTCATTAAAGTTATATTTCGGAATATGCCTTGCCATTAAAAAAAAGGAGTAGGTAGTAAATAAAACAGTGAAGACATCTGAAAACCGTTCCTCTACGTTGAGAGTATGGCAAATCTGGGGTGACGTCAATCCATATTATATGCAGAGCTCCATTTCGGCCCCACTGTATGGTAGAATCAGTAAATAACTGAGTAGAGGAAGTATTAATAACAGCTGGGACACTCTGCAGTGGAATTGTGCGGTTGCTGTCTATTGCTGTCAGTAAACAGGTTGCATAGGTACGCGAGTTGTTATGGATTTCTCCACTTGACTACGGACACACACCTACACACGCGTCTGGTTAAACAGCCGTGTGTATGGAGATTAGTGTGGTTCGACGCCGAAGAGAATCGAGAAAAACAGCGTCTGTCGCCGATAACGCATCGAGTGCATAGCTGTGTTTCATAGAATGCAACACCATCTGTCATCATACTGAGGAATAATGAATGAACTCTATAATGGCTGATTATGATGGGGAAAGAAGTAAAGCAGCAGAAATGTCCTTACTCAATGTTTTGTTTTGTTCATGAGCATGCGCTAGGTTGCTATGAAAACCTCTTCGTTGTGGCTAACGTCTCGACGCCTTGGTCTTCTTTGGAGCCGCAATGATCAGAATTAGATGTCTATAGTAGGGAAGGAAGCCTCCCCTACTGAAAAAATATGTCCCTACTCACTCTGTTATTACGAAATTCTCGATCCTAGTGTGAAAACCGGGTCTAGACGACCATAGAAACTACCTCTCGCAAAGAAATCTGGTAGGACAATGTATCATTCGTGAAATAACCAACACCGATAGAAAGTTTGCTTTGTTTGATGGCTGTCGACCCCATCTTCGTCATCAGGCATCCATCGTTTGCGGCAGCAAGACCATATAGTTAGGTTCTGCGAGTTGAACTACGACTAGGGCGACTGAAATCTAGCGTATTCAGTTTTGTTCTTGTTAGGTAGTGATAGGATTTCATGAGTTTTAGACGAAAGGCCTTTCTTTTATGTCGATTGGAACGAAGAAGTTATGGAATACTAGAAGCAAGAGAACATGTTAGCATTAAACTTCCGAACAACCCAATACTTCTATATCCGTCACAATAGAGAGCGTTAATAGGACGGTTTAACTCCAGTATGTTTCCATATTCCGTGAATTTTCATTGCTTGCTACGGTACACGTGCATTTCTATATAGTTTTAGCTATTCTTCTCAGTTATTTCGGTAATCTAACAGGATTAGGTCACTTTTAACATAAACGTGTTCTATAAGAAATAGGAGGAATAGGACTTTGTTCGGTTCCTATTGTAGCTACCTCTGTCGCACTGACCCACGTGATGTGGCTCGTGTCGAATCGAAGACATGGATGGTCACCAAGAACAAGTACGACTCTGTAAGTGATCTCTGAATATTGAATATCGACCAAACAATAGGTGAAGCTCATATGAAAAGTACTATTAAAAGGACTCTCTTTTGATATCTTGAAGGTCTGTCATACTCCCGAAGGAGTTCGACCGATTATGGGTCAATGGATGAGCGAAGAACAATTCGCTAAAGAACTCGACGCCAGATTCCCTGGATGCATGGCCGGTATGCAAGCGCCTTAAAAAAGTTGCTCTTCGAATGAAACTTTTGTCTAAAGCGTCGAATCTATCGTATATTGCACTTCTTTAGGAATTCTTCCTTTTTAGTGTCTCTGATAAAAGGAAGTTTCGAAGAGAACTGATTTTTTATTGATGTTTGTTATCATTTTTGAAGCGAACGAAGGCAGACTTTTTTGTTCGCTTTTAATATAAAAGGACCTGAGATGATGGAATTTAGTCATAAATCTGGTATATGGATAGGCAATACTGAATGAAATTCTGCTTGATGAATAAATTCCTGAGTCTCGGCAACTTTTCCAGGACGTCCAATGTACGTTGTGCCGTTCTCCATGGGACCAATTGGTGGACCTCTTTCGAAGATTGGAATCGAACTCACCGATTCAAGGTAGGTTGAGTGGAATACTTACAAATCGTGAACATAAATACCTGAATATTTTGAACTTGCAAATTTATCCGTTTGTATCTTTACTGTATCTTCCGATGCATATCTAGCGCTGTGGTCAGTTCTTAGGGTCGCCCAGTAATACACATGGGATCGCTAGTTCACTTCCTTACTCCAGTCTAGCCGAAGCTTCCATCTCTCCGATGCCGTCAGACTGGTACAAGACTTGTCAGAGTGGACGAAAACAGTGACTTGGTATTTCAAAAACTGACTTTCTTTTAACCTCGGTATGACCAATCGAGCGCTAGTTCGACCCATTCCACAACGCTCTCTTCCAATCCATATGCGAACGCCTTAGCCAGGTTATCTTCGAGATTCCAAAGCGAATCGACTTGAACAGCATACTACGACATCGATAAAGAAGACAAAATTCTCAAGCAACAGCCGAAATAATGTACGAAATGTTCCGAAACAATTGTGAGAGATGAAGGCGAGGAAAACGAATCGAATGCAAGAAGTGCTGGGACTTCCACAGTAGATTTGACGACGGATTATATAAAAACTGAAAAAATAATAGGCGACTGTACGAACGACTGAATGAGTACAGACCATCGACTCGGATCATCGGCTTTGAGAAAAACGAAGATGGCAAAATGTTAGCCGAATAAAGTTGTTTATCAACCCCCTGTTAGCCTACCAATGAAAGCAGCACCCGAAGCTCCACATAAAACGTTGGAGGGCCATTGCGCATGATGAATACGTGGAAACGAAATGGATGTGAAAAATGCTGGGATCTGCGCAGTAGATGCGAGGACTGGTCGTGTAATAAAAATAGTCCGGATATGCAATCATCTTTTCGATGGTGTGAATGGAATCGAATGCATGACACATTTCTGAGCAATTGATCGACGGGGAGCTCTTTGTCCTTAATTCTTTGTAAGCCTATTCTATTTTCTCTGGCCAAAAATCACCAGAATGTTAAGCTGATTTGGCGTTCGCAAATGCACTCATCCGTCTCGTTCAATAATTTATGTGCATAAAATTATTGTTGGGAATAGCATCGTTGTTTAGTTTAAAAATTTTGTTAAAAATAGTTGTTTATCAAAAGAATCCCAATTAACTTTTCTAAACATTTTTCATCTGGATAAATTCATGTCTAAACAGTTTGACTTAAACTGGTCAACAATTAGCATTTCGTTAGTTTGATCTGAGGGGAAGTGTTTTTCGTGTTTTTTCGCTTGTTTTTTCTCCTAATCAAAGGGTTCCATAAAAATCGTAGTTCAAGTAGAACTAAATTTTACTTAGAACAATGAATAGAACTTTCGGGAAATCAAACTTTCATGAAGGAAAGTGCCCAATTGCGGATCTCGAAGGTGCATAGTACACTTAGTATTTGAAGAGGGATCAAACCTGGAACGTTGCGTATTGTAAGACACCTCTAACCGTTATGCTACACTCCCATAAGCTTCCATATCATTACCACAATGTGCCACCACTTTTCGTCTTTCTTGTCGGGAAAACCCAGCAATTATTCGGGAACATAGTGGTATTTTAAGAAAAGTCTTGGAATATTTTGAAAGTACACGAGAGATTTCGCTTTTAGTTATGTGGTATTATGTATGAAGATCATGACCCGCATGGGTACGAAAGTGTTGGAGGCACTTGGTGACAACGATTTCGTTCGTTGCATTCATTCAGTTGGTCTACCACGTCCAGTGAAACGTAAGCTTCTTATATGATTTCACTGGTAAACACAGTAGAGACAAAAACATTCTGAAACGTAGGAAGCCTGTTGGTGAATGGTGTTAAATGATACGTCACATCTACATAGTCTAGTTCTTTTCAAGATTTCGTTGTTCAGAACATCCTAGCCGAAGATTCTTTCAGAGAAGGTAGTAAACCATTGGCCTTGTAATCCGGAAAAGGTGATGATTGCTCATCGACCCGTTGAGCGTGAAATTTGGTCTTTTGGATCAGGTTACGGCGGAAACTCTCTTCTTGGTATGTTGCTACGGCTTTTCTTTTGAATTCGGAAAACCCATGAGAGAAAGAATATCTTATTTAAGGAAAGAAATGCTTCGCACTTCGTATCGCCTGTAATATTGGACTAGAAGAAGGCTGGATGGCTGAACATATGCTGGTTAGTGTAGTTATCCTTTTCTTTTGGGCAAAAGGTAGTGCTTACACCAAATTCCCGACTGTATCTTTAGTATTTGCAAAACTCCTGACCGCAGGTGTCTGCGGTGGGGAACGAACGCGTTATTGCCCTTTCCGGAGGCTAACGCGTTCACCACCACACCACGCTGCCCTTCGTTTCACCTGTATCTCATTTAAAAGTAAAACATTGTGATTTCAACTACAGCCCCAGCTTAACTCGATTCTTTGCCGATTTGGGCTCCTTAGATCAATCCCGCTGACGGGTGATCGCTGATGGCGCTGATCGATAAAAACAGCTGAGAGAAAGGCGAAACAAAGGACCCGTATGGTGTGGTGGTGAACACGTTACTCCACGGAAAGGACAATAGCGCGTTCGTTCCCCACCGCAGACACCTGCGGTCCAAAGCTTTGCAAATATCTCAGCATCATTGAAGTTACATTTTGCAACATGTCCTGCCATTAAAAACAGTAGGCAGCAAATAATGAGTCAAAATTGTGTATTTAGTGTTTTTTCTATCGTACATGACCCATATTTTGGGGGTACCAGCATTTCAGTTCGGTTGTTGATTCTTGCCTTCATTTTATGAATGCCGCTGAATGCTGGCCGAGTCGACTCTGTAGTCGTGGGATAGCCGGACTGGATTACTCCCACTTCTATTGCAAGGAGTGGACTTCTCCCAGACAAGTCTGGTACCAAGTCCCGACCATGTACGGACAAATGGGTTGGTGAACCCAGCGTGATCTCGAACCAGCACCATGCTCTCGATTTTGTCAGTGTTCACAATTTGGAATTATGGCAATGAAACGAAAATTATAAAACATCCCAAATAACAAAAACTGGTCAAATACTGTCATATACAGTAAGATGAGAGCGGGTAGGATGCTGTTTAACACGCCAAGACCATCATTCGATTATCGAGAATTGCCGGCAAATAGATTTTTTTTGAGAAACTTCCTCAGATCCGTCTGACCAAGCAAGCTGCTAGTACGGCTTTGACAGGATTCGAGAGAGAATCGACTTGACCTGCATTCAACAACATTCAGAAGACCGTAATACTCAAGCAGTAGTGGAAGCCACGCGCGTATCCGAAGGTCTTCGTTGACTTCGGATGCGAGAAAATGAATGGAGTGGAAGAAGTGCCAGAACTGCACAAAATGTGATGTCGGGTCATGTGAAGTGAGACAAAAAGTGTGTATACACAGTATTTGGCACTAAATGAATAGTGGACACTGATAAACGTTACCGTAACCACTTGGCCCATAAGGTGTTTTGCATATTTTAAAGTCACTTTTATTATAGTTGTAAATGAAAGTTGTACGAGTACAAAAACAAGTAGAAATATCAGTGGCTAAATTTCCATCCTATTCAAAAATCTTGGAACTCGCAAGTTATCGATGACACTTGATGTTGATTTTAGTTCACTTATGAATTATAATATAGCAGCTACTACTTGCTACTAGTTATGGTTTATGGGTTTTCAGATCATGGGCATCACAAATCCTGCTGGCGAAGAGCGATTCGTTGCCGCGGCTTTCCCGTCTGCTTGCGGAAAGACAAATCTAGCAATGCTTGAGCCGACAGTGCCGGGATGGAAAGTACGCGTCGTAGGTTAGGAATCTTTACAAATTTTATATACAGAACCTTGTGCCATACTCAGCACCACCTAGTTGCATAGGTGGTCTTCTATCGACATTTTATGTAGTTTTCTATGTCATGTTCTCTGTAGCGTGACGTCAAATGCTCTGATAGTAGTGGTTTTTCCTATGTTCACTACCAATACGTCCGTAAAGTGGAAAAACACCAAACACAATACTGGAACCCTTCAAAAATTACTGCATCCGTCAATTCCAGTAGTTTTCATTAACAAGCAATATGCGTAATGAAGAACAAAGCAAACGCAACACATTGTGGTGGAAAGTGTCCGCCGTATTGATTAATCTCGCGATCCGATCAATACGCCAGCTCGTCGACAGCAATGCGATCTTATACAAATGACGGATTTCGATTGATTGCTCGATCCAAAATCAACACGGTTAACAGCTGAAGCAGCACTATGTAGATCACAGTTATTAAACTAATTCTGGAAACTGCGTCGTTGATCACGAATTTTGCAGGAGACGATATCGCTTGGATGAAATTCGGTAGCGATGGACGTCTTTATGCAATTAACCCAGAGGCAGGATTTTTCGGTGTAGCACCAGGTATCACAGAGGTTTAATTTAGTCGAGAAAATTTAGTGTCTTGAATACTCGCGCCTAGGTACCTCACACAAAACAAATCCTATGGCGATGGCGTCGTTCCAAAAGAATTCCATCTTTACCAACGTTGCAGAGACGGTTGATGGTGAATACTTTTGGGAAGGACTTGAGAAAGAACTCAAAGCCAAGGTATGTGCTAAGCGTTCAACACAAGTTACAGAGAATAATTACCGTTATCTCTTCGCATTCTTTATTCCTTTGTTATCTCTTCGCATGGAATTCTAATGCCGTATGCAACCAGTGCCATCCTTCAGCGTTCGTCCTAACTATCCAACCAGGGTATCCATCATAATCATTGTCCCTTTCGGGTGAACCACGTAATTTTTAATAGCCTAGAAAAAATCCATCTTATACGTATATTTGTACAGTTTCTGCTCCATACCAAAGTTAGTTTGCGAATAGGGAAATCTTTGGCCTTTTGATGATCAACACCACTGGCAAGAATGTAACACTCGCTTACACTACCTAGAACTACCATAACGGAAGAAAATTCATCATTGTGGGACGAAGAAGTCTCTTTCAATCCACCAAGATGAGACTGGTACCACAATATCCACCGCAGACTTCTCACGATGAGTTTCGTAGATGAATACATTGGGCACAAGATGACGAAAACACCTGCACCATCGAAAAATTAAAGTTTTTTGCAGTTTCTCCTAGTGCGCTTGTGAACGGATGGACTCACTAGTAGGCGCATGACTGCTTTCGCTTTGACAACAACATGAACTATTTTCAGAGGAATCTCACTGACGAACAGTTGCGCCACATTGAAATCAGAAACTGGCTTGGCGAAATTTGGCATATCGGTGACGAGGGTAAGTTAATCAGTCTAATTATAAACTGTATTTAGTTGATGTCCAAAACTGTAATGTTTCAAGTTTTTGTTAGATTTTGGTTAAAAACATCTTGGGACATCTTTTGAGTGACACTCGTGCGAGTCGCAGTTTTGTCTCTTATCATTTTCATTCATACTTCACATCTGTACGTGAAAGTTAGAAAAAATACGTCGGCGGTGACAAAGCAAAAAGTTTGAGTACCAAGGAATCCGTTGTTAGAACAATCGAATCACAGTATCCTATATAGACATATGTACTCATTAGGTTAGGAACTAAAGCATGCTTAATTAAATAAAGCACTACCTATTATCCCATAATCACAGGTACAAGTAATTGATCGTTATAATCCACAGACCGGCTTGTGTTTAACTGGAGCATCTGAAAAATTCCCATAATGTAATTGGATTACTGTAGCTGTAGTTACATTGCGTTACTAATAGTATTTCATTACGACTGAGAATTCACTAGAGTCGTCTAACATCAAAAGTAACTATTCCCGAAATGCAGGTAAATAGATATTAACCCTTCAAGTAAAAGGCAACAAAAAAATTAATTCAATGATTTGTTATAGTCCCTTCTTCCAGGAAAAGCCGCTCATCCGAATTCGCGTTTCACTGCACCAGCTGCGCAGTGCCCAATCATTCATCCAAAATGGGAAAATCCCGATGGAGTGCCTATCGATGCTATCATTTTTGGAGGTCGCAGACCTGAAGGAGTGCCTCTGGTGTGTTGTAGAGTAGTTTCTCTCAACCGTTCTGTCAAAGATTTACGCAAATGTTCAAGATGAGTTATGAGGGAGAACAAAAGGTATTGAGAGACCTCTAAGACCACTAACACGATGAACACATCTGATAGCGCTAAAACATGAGACACACCCGATTACGACTAAATTTGTACGGTGGCCACAACAAGCTGCATTTATTCCTTCGTCGCTCACGATATGCATTGAAACACTTTTCCAAAGAAGCTCTTTTTTAAATATTAAGCGTAGAGGGTAGATTGGTTCGGACCACATCTGTCACACATGTGTTCAACGAGCTGTTTTTTGACTTGATGCCAAAAAAATGCAGCAAGTGAACTCCTCATGACGAAATGAACACTTGGGAAAATTGACATTTAAATCAATACGGTACACTTGACCCATCGAGGAATGCACTGATATCAATGCATAAGGTCACTTTAGCGTTAAAACTATTCATGAATCGATGTGATTTAATTTCACGTCATTTATGTATAATGTATCAATTATTTATAAGATATTTGGAAGTAACCAGTTTTTTTAACGATCAGAAATTGGTCAGTTAGAGTATTTTTTAATCAGAAAACTTGAAGGTGTTCGAAAGTTTCTCATGGGAGCATGGCATTCTGGTCGGAGCACTTGTGAAGTCAGAAGCGACGGCAGCTGCAGAGCACACTGGAAAGCAGGTAGGATCCTGTTGTACGTTCATCTGGATATGCAACTATTGACTTGAATGGTAGAGGTAATAGTAATGTTGACAGTCTGTTGAACTAAAAAAAGAACTACTGCCGTCAAGGGAAGTTTGTTTAATAACTCTAAAAAACCAGAAGAAGCGATTTTGTGCATTCCTTCCAGAATTCTGGAAAAGTTCTGGACGATCAGTAGTTGTCTTGAGAACTTCGCTCTCATCTATTCAAACCTGACATGTGTTCTCGCATTATGCGAAACTGATACATATACGTGTTAGTCGTATGATGATGCCTCGAACAATAATTCTAAGGACCGCAAACCTAGCTTGGACAATGATTTCGTATTTCGACCGTTTAGAAGGTGATTTTCTTTTGAAAAGAAAACAACGTTGTTTACGACATAGAGCATGCTGAACTATCAATCATTGAAGACGACAAAAAACAATCGATGGGAAAACAAGACATAAGAACGTCAACACTCATGTCTCCATCGAGATGAAGCGACGTCGAGCAGATGACCGTCGACAAGACAAATTAGTAAAGTTGTAGTTACAAATGGATGTTGGAGATTTCACTAGAACATGGCTATCATTTCGATAAGCAAAGCATGGATATCTTCTGAACAGGAGCTATCCTGACACACGTAACGTCTTCCCGAGTCCTTTACGGTAGTGAATTCTGTATCAGTTTAGGGTCAGGGTATCACAGTCGATGTCGGTAGCAAGAAATCCATTATGTAAGTAATATAAGCTGCTCATAAAAACCTACAGAGAACTCTCTGTAGGCCATCACACCGATCTATAATCCACTATCTTTTCTTTCTTTTAGTCAACAAAGAGGCTAAGATATTGGACTATTCAGGATTCGAACATACTTTTTATTAGTGCCTATAGCTAATTTTGAATTCTTCCAATTAAGTATCAGCTGGTTGTTACAAAGGGAACATCTTTTCTTTTTCCGTTTATACATTGCCCAAGGTTTTTTTGTCTACTCATTCGTATTGCATTCTTAGTATAGTTTTCTATCAGAGCGGTCCAACACTTCTGTATGATAACTTTAGATCGCATATTTCACGAACTGTGGCAATCGAACTAGATGAATTGAAATATGGAAACTCGATCCATCCACCTCATTCACCTTACGTTTTTCTTATAGATTGATGCCTATAGTAGGCACTTGCGTTCCCGGCAAATGAGTGGCAAGTGTGCTGGGGTCCGCACAACTCGTGAGGATGGACCATCCAAGTATCCAAGTACCTCATTGGCATTTGTGACTTTCGTTCCTCAAAAAAACCTTTAGTAATCCAGGAGATGAAACTTTAACAAAACTGACGGACTTTGCAATAACCCCTACCGAATAAAATTGTGAATTCAAAGGAGTTGGAATCAATAACCGTAAGAATCTACCGGTGAAAACAAAACAAAGAACTTTTGAGCAACAAACAGCTCTAGAAAAGATGTCCAATAAAAGTACAACTTATCGAAAAACGACCAATAGGCGGTTTGAGATGAACATATTTTCAAAGACTGTTTACTACGCGTTTTCTCTAAACAGTCCAAAATAATTCCAGGTAATGCATGATCCGATGGCAATGCGTCCATTCATGGGCTACAACTTTGGCAAGTATCTACAGCATTGGATCGATCTCGGAAAACCACCACACAAGGCACGGTTCTGACCTTTTAGACTTGAGTTTACAGAGAAAGAAGGTGAAGCAACAAAAAGAAAAGGTACATCGCACTTATTACAGGCACCAAAGATCTTCCATGTGAACTGGTTCCGCGAGACAAAGGACCACAAATTCTTGTGGCCCGGTTTCGGTGATAATATTCGCGTATTGGACTGGATTCTACGAAGAGTTGATGGTACCGAGGATATCGCTGTATGTTCTTATCGAGCGGATCGTGTGAATTATTAAGTATGACCAGTAAACCTCTTTGTGGTAGATCATCGGAGTTGAACATCAGCAGCGGTAAACGTCCTTATAGCAACTTACTTCACTTAGTGATCACGTAGCTCTTTTCGGATCCTACATCTTTGATTATAACACTAGCCATTTATCAATACCTAAGTGTTTTCATAATCATGTGAACGATAAGAATATGTACTTATGATTCTCAATGATTTGAGAAAGTCAGAGAAAACGTGTGGCTTTTCAGGAAGAAACGCCCATTGGATACATACCGAAACGAGGTAGTATCAATCTAGACGGCCTTCCTCGTATTGACTGGACGGAATTGATGTCAATTCCTAAACATTACTGGGAAGAAGACATCGACGAAAGCAGGCACTTCCTGGAATGCCAGGTGACTATTACTCAACGGACATTGCTAGTGGTTTAGAAATGAAAAGCTCATAAATAACCCTCTATCATAAATATTATCAAGTAAATAAATATTCCTAAACAAATATCAATATCCCTCTTACCATACTGCATACTTTCTTTAGTAGCAAACTCAAAATTTTTCCATTACAGGTCGGACCTGACCTTCCAAAGCCGATAGCCGATGAACTCACTTTGCTTGAGAAGAGGATCCATTCAATGTGAAGGTGACTACCATCATCACTACATCATAGTTTTGTCATTTTAGCCTTTAAGAAAAGAGCAAGCAACTCAGAGTATGTAAAGAGGATATATGCCGCTATAGAAGTTACAGTAGTTCCTATAGAAGCAACAGTAGTTTTGTACGAATCATAAACTATTAATTCATAGTTCTTGCTTCAAACTTTTCGCATGCTACAAAGCGGTATTGGACTGCATCTGTCACGATTTTGAGTGATTTTTGAAATAAATCTACCTGGATAAACGATCACAAAGGTTGCTTACAACAACAAAAGAAACTCAGTAAATTAATTGGCTCACATCCAGTAAACCCATCCAATGAACGCGCTCATGTCATCTATGAGTTTTGTCACTGGGTAGAAGTCTAATGTGGTCACACATAAAATTACAAAGAAAGAAAAAAAAAATTAAAAGACGCTGTTGTGACGTCTATTATTTGGCTCTCGAGTGGAATATGAATATGCAATATCTATACTCAGGTAGTATTTATCTTTTAAACAATCCCTTTTCTCCCTGATACCATTGGTTGTTTCTGTGTTAAAGTGATTTCTGTACCAGAAGACTCACTCCGCTAACAGCTTGTATAAGCAAGCTACGAACCAGTCCTAAATCAACCCATAAGCCCAGCCTAAAGTGAACCAATAATCGACACAGTTTTAAAAACTAGGACAAGATCTCGTCTTAAAGCAGTAAACTTCCTTTTGATAAACAACGGCGGGCAACTGTACGAAGATGAAAAAGGAATATTCGAATAGGGCTTCATCAAGCAGCTAGAGAGAGTCCGACCAAACATACGGAGCCATCTGTTTAGCAGTGCTTTTACGACTCCTCCCTCAAAAAAAAGTGCAAAATACTCCGCCATCACAGACCACTATGCCCGAATATTTCAATATCATTTGGTATAAAAAGTAGCATTTCCATCTAGGATAAATTTGTCAGTTCAACAGCCAAAGCATTCGTATGAGTAACTAGTCATCGTCCAATGTAAACGGTGCCCTCGCTTAATCTTTCCTCATTGATAGTTTTCTCTTCACTATAAGTGTACTGCCCTCACTATTTGCAAAAATATGATATACCATAAGAACTATCATGACTACTGCTTCAATTCTAAATCCTAACAAAATAAATTGCACACGTGACAGCTCATTCCAAGAAAGTGCAGGCAATTCGTGAAAGCACAAAAAAGGTGAATCACGTCCATGTTCTCGTTGTATCTATATAGTCTCCATCGGGCGACTGATAGTCGACAACCGGCGGTGTCAATCCAGGACCATGTAAAACGATGTTCAGTGGGCCATCGATAGGTTCCACAGCCTACAAATTATAACCGTTAAATTGTTCTCTAGCATTTGTTCCGTCCACCCTACACTGATCATTCCTGATGTATAAGACACAATTACTTCATAATACTACTAGGAATTTAAGGATAGAAAAACAATTATCCTCCTAAACCATGTAACCGTTGTCTATCAATGAATCGGAGAATACTAGCCGCACACCTGTGCACTGCTGATAAAGAAGTGATTCCTTATCTTCACTTTATACTAGCATTTGAAGGAACGAATTTCAACCCAGTTTACAAATTCCACATAAACAATAACAAACAGAAACGAATTGAACAATCCGAGACCAACAGTGTGTTCAAAAGGCAAAGAATTTAGGTGAAAACACAGAAGTTTTCGAACATCGGGGTTTCATTTTCACTTATTTGGAAGCATCATTACCTATGCTATTTTTAGTCTCATTAATCATACAGGAACCCGAGCGCAAACTAATAAACTCCAATTGCTCCGTTATCAACCGGAGAATAAAGAGAGATGCGTGTAGCGCTTTGGTCGGAAGCGCTCTGGTAACACACATGGAGTCGATCCTCATACCCCGAGCCCAGCAAACACTCCATCACTCTGGGGTCCACAAATGACGGACTTGTCTGGGAGGATAGCAGCATTGGTTCGATATATCGCAAGGCCACCATGAGCCACTGTAAAGGCCATATATGATTTCACTCACTTGCAATGATGCTTAATGAAGTTGAAGGCATTGCGCATCCCTCAGAGATTGATCAACGCCGAGAGCTTTATCCTTTTTTGTCCTTTATGAACTAGAGCAGCTCAGATAATTGCGTTAATCTCAACGCACGTGAAGAATATTGCAGTTTCGGTTTGATACTGCTTTAACGAGATAGCAGCCAAGGTGTTCTTCGAGTGCAAATGTGGAAGCGCTCTTTGATGACGCCGTCAGGGATATGAAGTCTCAGTGTAGGCTCCAGTTTGACACTCAAGAACACACCTAGACACTACACAGTGGTAGGTCATTGGGAAGGAGTGTAGATATGCTAAAATACACTGTAGAAGTATTTGAAGACTAGGTTTCACTGAAAATGCAACGGCTATTTGAAGGGATTAAAAATATTACCCAGCTTGTTTTGGCAATTGACATCCTGAGGAAGTTCCCAACATGTAGTACTGAACAAAAACAATCCACACTCCCCAATAAAGCTGAACCTGACTCAAGAAAAGTGCAAAATGGAAAAAATCTTTAAAACAACAGCCAATGATGAAAATGGACGAACAGCAACTACATACCCCTCCAACATTCCTCGTTTGGGAAAAATTTTTTCCAAGATAATTGTGCAATCTTATGCACAATGTACGAATACGAAATGTCTGGATGAGTCGTAAGCAACCCCGTTAGTCTCCTGTTGTCCTAATTTCAGAGTGATTTCACTAAACTACCAATTATGAAACCTTTTGCAACAGTGAGTTGCCAAACTAAAGTTTTGATAAAATGTTTTAAAACTTTGTTCTTGATAAACGAAGTTAAAAATGGACCTAACGTGTAGCCACCTGTAATTAGCCTTAGCCCAGAATTTCTCTATGGCTTTGAGTTTGAAGCATGAAGTGAAAATCTATAGACATATAACATACGTTTGCTCTAATACTATATAAGAGAAATAAAAAGGAGCGAGCTTCGAAATCCTAAAAACACGTGCACATAGTGGTCAACGATGTTCACTTTCTTTTATAAGAATTTCTTACCGTTCTAGGGAACACTTTATTCTTCAATAACTTTTTGAACACTTGTTTAATTTTACTATTATTCGTCTCATAATTATTCAAATACTTATCTAGTTTATCTCTAGCACCAAAGCAATGAAATTCTAGATTTTTTTTAGTAAGATATAGCTTGGACAGCATTAGCAAAAAGCTCAGAAAATTCATAAAGAATTATAATGCCCTGCCAAAAATCAGTCTGTGGTTCTACATTAGGTTGGAACAAATGTCGATTTTCACACTCTAGTCCAGTATTTCTTTGACCAAAAAAGAGGAAAAGATGTTAAAGGATAGAGGATTACGCGTTCAGTGTTGATCAATCCCTAATTGGTGTGCCATTCATTTGACTTCAACTCGAAGTCAAACAGAAGCTACGACAGGAAAAAAGTTAGCGAAGATTTTTTTGTGGATTTAGTCGTTAAAGTTTTTGCAACGACTGACCTCTTTTATGTAACGATAAAATGATATTCTGCAGGCGTTAAGTCTCTGCAGAAGCAATATCGTAGATGGCGTAAGGTAATCCAGTCTATTTTGTCCAGTCACATGTGAGTTAACTTTGCAGCAGTGCAGAGCAAACTATGAGCCGTTTCGGGAGCATTATCTTCACGGCAGCTGCATTTTTGTCCAATTGGTTGGACTGTAGGACACACCATCATGTTTTCTGATGACAGTGCCATGAACGAAATCGATTGGTCCGTCGAAGTTAAGTGCAGTTAAACCTACCGAATAAAAAATGTAGCCACTGCAATCACAGATCCGTCTAGTTCGATCTGCTAATCTTCGCAAGAAGGGGTCCTCTATGAACTGGGTCTTCATCCTATTTAGCGGCATTCCAATCCTTTCTCCCTTTTCGTTAAGTTCGCCGTGCATAGTCTCTGTTTATTGGCGTTTCATGAAAATATGATGATGGTGTCATAAAAAAAGATTTGATAGCAAGTTCCCACCAACGCGCACGCCTGTCTCGTCCCAGGCGACTTCAATATCCAAGACCATGTTTTTCTTCAATAAGCAGACACAAGGCTGCTATTATAGTACTAGATACAATAGCTAACGTTTCGGCGGTTTCGCCTTCTCCAGACCCGTTTATTTGTTGTCAGTGTTTAAGTTAGTTGATGGATAGTAGCCGCATAGAGTAATACATGGGCGAGGACTGTGCTTGTGTCAGGTCATTGGATCAGCCTGAGGTATGGCGCCAGGTCACGCGTGATGACAAGACACTCCTCCTTGCGGTTTATTTTTGAATTTTTGGAATTGATCCAAAACGCTTCAAGAGCTTTACGCGCTGATGTTGCTCTTTATTTCAAACGAAATAAGTACAGCGGTAAAACGTGGCTTAATACGGACCGGTCTAGAGAATTCCATAAGATTGATAGAAATATCATCGGACACTTTAAGACGACAACTAGTTCGCAACCGCCTATATGACCGTCTATGTATGACGAAAAACTACATAATTTGCCCTGACGGTAGAGACAGTGATTGCATGAGTACGGGTACAGTCTATTTGATCTCTTGTAAAGCGTGCGGGAGCGAATACGTTGGCGAAACGGGTTGACCACTCTGCGTCCGCATAAAAGAACACCTAATCGGTAAATCTAAATAAAACAAAACACTCCACTAGGCGCGCAATGGATGCAGGAACACAACGGAGAAGACTTCGGAGTAGAAGTCACTATCCTCACGCACGAATCGAAAGCATCAGCGCGTAAAACTCTTGAAGCGTTTTGGATCAATTCCAGAAATTCAAAAATGAACCGCAAGGAGGAGTGACTTGTCATCACGCGTGACCTGGCGCCATACCTGAAGCTAGTCCAATGACCCGACCAAGGCACAGTCCTCGTCCATGTCTAAGTGTTTGGCTGAGTAGATCGCATCTCAATTTAACCTTTCCAGGCTCTGAAGGAGAACCGCCGAAACGCCAACTATTGTATCCTAATAAATTCTATAATAACAACCTCGTGCCTGCTTATTGAAGAAAAACATCGGAGTTTAATATCCACTGCAATGTGGATGTAAACAGCTTTAGCGAGATGGTGTTGCTTTGTCAACCCCCTTTTCTATGAGAATGGTAACGGGGCGAAGAAAAAGTTGACTTTTGTTTGTGCTGCACTTGCAAAATGAGCAAGTGATATTCCTTACAGAGTCGTATGAACCCTACATACAGCATAAAAGTACTCGACGAAGCAGAATCCTCGTCGGAATCTTGTTTTCTCAACTGCTTACGCTTCATTTTGAGTACTTGACTTGCGCGATAGAAGAATCTTAATGAACAACTTGGGAGTCCACCCAACAAGCATACCGGGAGGTGATGACGAGGATCCTTTCGGTCACTCTTCATCGGTACGATGACCGCGTGCGAGACGTCTCATTGGTCAGGTCTCGTCTCATTGTGTTGCCAAAGTAAGCGCGGTTAGTCGCTTACAGCAGCAACTTATGTAATCTTATCAGAGCTTTCACAATAGCGAAAAATTGAGAGAAAACTGACGAAAGCACCAACAATTTCAACACCTTAGATCTGAACTGCTCAACTCAGTAGAACCAATTAAGTGCTAAGAGAACGACGGGAAACATGCGACATAACAAAAATACAGATTTTCAAATAAATGGAGTACGCTAAAACTGCAACTCATTCAATATATTTGCTGTATCTCGTGCAAACTGCCACTTTGATGTAAGCAACTCAAGCAATTCCACGAAAAGGCCTCAACAACAAAGCTACTGTTGGAAATCTCCCAGGAAATAGTATTTGGCTGCCAAAAATTTGTGCATTTCAATGGCTTATTTCGATTGAACAGCTATATACACATCCAAACGGATAGGAAACTGTCTGCGACGAAAAAAAGTGGATGTGCTAGTACGGCTTTCTCGAGATTGCAAAAAAAACTGCGCCAACCGGTATTCAATATCTCAAGAAAGAGAACAAACAGCAAATCCTCAAGCCGTAACAGAACCTATACATGGACTTAAAAACCTTTATGGACGGCGATTTTACAGTACCGTAAAAAAGTGTTGTTTGGAGCCCCACATCACGCCAGCATTGACCATCTTCATATCTAAGTAATATTTTGTTATATTCATTGTTGGTGCATCCTCTATGGGCCTATTCGACCTTGTTTCAAATTTAGGGCAGAAAGTTTCGGTATTTCTGAAAACATTTCAGAACTATAAAATAGAATAGAATGAGGCAGGTGTGACAATTGTTGATGCGTACTCTGACAGCGACATACTCTTTCAACACAAACATGGTTATAACTACAGACACCTGCGGTCCGGAGGTTTGCAAATATCTCAGCATCATTGTGGTTATAATTTACACCATACCCTTGCATGAGAAAAAATATGCAGTAGATAAAAAGTCACTGAAAACATGGTTACTTTCTAGTCGCTGTTCAGCAAGCCTAGTTGGCAATATGATCCAAATAGTATATGGGAATCAAAATTGGTGTAAAAATCTACCTTTTGGTACAGGACGGGATCGATGAGCTTCAGTTCATTCAAGGCTTTCCTTTGAGCCTTGAGGGCATCCCGAACCCATTTATCGTCCAATCGCTGCAAAGTATTGCGACTGCGTGTGTAGTCCTAAAGCATTAGCAACATGAGGATTAGGAAGTCTTCATTTTTGCTCCTTATAAGGAGAGTTATCTGTGGCAATGTCAGCCCAAAACTGCAGATTATACACAAGATTCACTATATATACACTCACGGTAGCAGTCAGCAGGAAAAAAGCTAGCCAAGGAAGATAAAAAAGGTACAAAACTCTCGGCGTTGATCACATTCTGAGGGATACGCCATGTTATTCGACTTCATTAAGCATCGTTGGAGGTGAATGAATGCATATCTGGCCTTTACAATGACTCGCGGTGGCCTACTGATGTAACGAGCCAGTGCCGCTATTCTCCAGACAAGTCTGGTACTAATCTGCCGACACCGGAAGGATGGAGGGCTTGGTGGGCATGTCTCCCGGGGATCGACCCTATGTGTACTGCAGGGCGCCTTCAACCACTGCGCTACTAGTGCCCTGTCAAGGAACACAGAAGCAGAAGTTGCTGAATGAGCTAAGGCTACACTTGATATCAAGGTGTTGCTGTTAAAATTAACCAGAATAAAAATCTCAATATCAAATATGGTTTTAAAAGTATTGGTTGTGCTAAAAACTATAACATTTGCAACATACAACACTTTTCGCACAGAAAAAAAGCGACTACAAGAGAGGTGAAGACCATATGATGGAACAAACCTTCAAAGCAATTGCACGTTCATCAATCTGCTCTTCTGTTAACACAACGGGTTCTCGATATCGCTCACTATAATAGTTGCCTGATAATAACAGGATGGCTAAAGTTTAACAAACCTAATCTGATCTAGTCGCACTACTCTTTAACACTTATCGTCCAAAGCTTAGATGTGAGTGGCAGCAAATTTGCTAACAATGAGAAATTCTGATTTCCCAACAACTCCCCACAATTCTTCTACAAGAGTAGTTCAGGAGTTGAGAAGATGAGAGAGACTTAGTCCTATCGTTTATAACTACCTCCAAATGATATTTTCAGCTTAAGCCCTATTTGAAAATCACCTGAGAAAGAATGAAAAATCTACTCCAGATTTTTAGTACTGAAAGCAAACGCGACAAGGGCAAATACCAACGACAAACTGCGGAACATATCGTTTTGCTGTACAAAATCTCGCTCGTTAAACTATTTTATAGTCCGAATTACGAGATTCGAGAAAACAACTACATTCTGTGAGTTCCAGAAAGGCAGAATTTCACCTCTTGTAAATCTAGAAAACTTGCAATTTATTTATAAAGATCAATAGGTACTACGATTCCCATTTCAATAAGTCATAGCGAGATGGAAATATGTTGGTCAAAATTGAAAAGCTACAACATAACAGTTATTTGACTTTCCCAAAATGGGAAAAAAAGAAAGTATTTCTTGGACGTAGAAAAAGCAGCAAGTACGATGAGATGGTAAACCACTGAGGTAACTCCTAGCGGCTGTAAATGATTGAAGAATCAAAAACTTAGAAAGGTCCGTGTAAAACGAGATTACTGGCGTCCCAGACGAGTCTGTGAATAACATTCTTCTAGGTCCCCCTTATGATAAACGATGACAATTTCAAGCCTACCATATTATTAGAATCCCGACAGCGCATGGAACGATCCTTTCTTTCAACTCATCAAAACTGCAAGCTTTTGAGAGTTACAATAAGGAAAGACTTCGTGAACACAGGCGATAAGATGGTATTCCATTCTTCATATTCTACGGGCCACGTACATAAACCTCGATCACTCCAGACTTTGTAGGGCGCAAAGGTGACAAAACGTAAGTAGAATGTGTAAACTGTTAAGACTACAGATTACAGCGAATGTAAAGTGCATGTGACGGCTTTTACTTTGGGAGGTCTAGACTGCAAAGATTGTAATTTTTTTCTCATTTTGTACGATCCGTCTTCACATCTATTGCGCCGATTCCAGCAATTCCCAAATTCGATTCATTCCCTCGGATTCATCATCTATTAAAGTCTTTCAGCTTATACATGTGACTTCGACTGCTCCTTGAGTAATTTTATTTCTTCCTTAATGTCGTAGAATGCTGGTCGACCCGACTCCCACTGAAGTCCTGAGATAGCCGGGATCGAACGTTCCCAACTGAATCGCACAGGGTGATTTTCCTCGCAGAGAAATCCACTACCAATTTCCCAACGCCGGAGAGATAAGAGGCTTAGTGAGCCCAGTGCAGGATCAGATCAGCACCGTAGTCGCGATGACCGGCATCATTAGCACTGTGCTACCTGCTCCCTAAAGATTGCAAACAAAATATGAAATGTGGAAATCATAAGAATTGAAAACTATCCAACAAACAACAGTTTTGGTGACGCCGAATACACAAATACACCAGATTTGAACCCATAAAAGTCTTATCAGTGGCTTACCATCTCAGAATAATTTATCATACAGCAAAAATCTGAGCAGAAAACTAGGCCACTTTAATGAAAATAAATCGATAACGATTAATCCCTTCCACCCTTCTTCTAGTGCACAAATGTGTACCCACCCATGACTCTAAGTGTTAAAACAATATTCTATAGACTGTGTAGAAGTTGTGAAAAGCCGTCAAGAAGTAAGTGCTATTTTGAAATAGAATCTTATCCATTGCCACGACGATCCACTCCAAAGAAATGAATGGAATGGGGTAAATTCTAAGGCTTACTTTATGTTTTTTGCTGACTTGACGTCGAGTAACAGTTCATCAACCGGTTTCGGTTTCTTGCTATGCTTCAACATCTGTCTGATTTCCTTCTCAAGGCGCCTTCTTTTCCGGGCTTCTCTTAGTTTCGCCACCAGAAAAAGCAAATGTTGTGAAAATTAAACTTGCCGGGCTTTCCAATTGAGGGATGTAAGATCGTAAAACAGCAAAAGAATGAATATAAAAAACCACCTAAGAACACTCACCTCCGGGTCCACTTTCTTCTGCTTTTTCATGAATACTGAACGCAGGACTGGGGTTGACGTGATTCCACGAACAGCAACTGGAGAAATAGAACACCTCGAAACTAAGAGGCACAACGGATTCATGTGATTTCCAAACAAAAGCTGGAATACAAATGTATTTAAAGGAGAAAGGACCCAATATCTTATGCTAAAAACTGCTTAACATTAAGAGATGAATGAAGGTACTGGATAATTTGCAGATCAAGGCACCATTTCATTCGGCTATAATAAGTAAAAAAAAAGACTTTTGGTGAGCAGGACTTTACAAATGCAAAGTGCGGAAAAATTAGTTTCTAAGAATACTGTAGGCGCAGGACAGAATTAGTGAGATCACAGACAACTTCCAGATTGCATGAGTTGGCTTCATATTTTCTCTTTAGTTCCATGCTTAGAGAATGTTTAGGCTGATTTTATGTGTTTTATTTAGATGTAAGAAGATTAATGTGACGAATAAACTGGTAGTCTTCGAGGAAAACTTGACATTGAATGAGTAACCTCTAGAAATTGATAGAAACACCAGTAATTCTTATATCCGTCATACATAAGGCCATCTATAGTTGGAAAATGATAGAGAGCTGTATTCGAATGTTTCAGAAAAACAAGTAGAATCCGAGGTTTTGTATGATGATAGACAATGGCGACCGCGGCGCTGGCGGCCGTCGTGGTGGAAACGTTGTCGCCATGAACGACGCTCCAGAGAACATCGGTAAGATCGTAGAAGTTTATTTGTTGTTTCGTAATGATTGTTCTACTATATAATTAGAAAAACTAAGTTATATTCGCAAAAAGTACAACGTATACTTTCTGTGCCTTTAGGAGATGGTTCTAGAAAAGCGGGACGAGCTCGGAAATCTCCCTATGACTCCTATTCTGATCCCAAAGTTCGTTCTTAGTTTAGTAAATCCTTAGACGAGTTACTGGAAGTGTAGAAATATGTAAAGTGAACATAGATTACTATAGGTCAGATAGAACTGATTAAGATTAATCCATTAATTATTTATCTTTCGATCCTACACAGATTCCTAGAATCCATAGATTGATTAGATTACTTAGAATCTGTGTCCTCGTTTTTCTGACTTTGTTATTCTTTCTGGATAATGTTTGCAGTTCCTGAGAATGTTCTTTATTTTCTAGAAAGTGTCGATATCGGCTCAGCCATCGATAAGGCGGACTCGTTCAGCGCGAGGGACCCTTCCAATCGAGTATGTCCCATTCTTCGATTCTTTTGGATCTCTTACTTTTAAGAACTTTATCCGTTAGCACCCAGTTGCAGAGTTTTGCTAAGCGTAGCTATTATTCGATCTGGAAGCTTTTAGATCATCAAGAGACACCGTTAATATCCGTCTTTAGTGATGATGATGCCCATTTCTATCCGTGTCCAGTACCTAAGTGCGACTACAGCAGTGAAAGTCGTTCGGAACGAAACTACCACTTGAGAGTGGATCATGCTAAGTGCTCCTATCAGAACGTTGCACGAGATCTTGTCGAGGAAAGTTCTTGGAGAAGTAATCCTCATGAGGTAGGAGGCTTTCATGTCTTCTAAGAACAATCCGCAATCCCATCTTATGGTTTTCTTTAGATATCTGGTGATTATGGAGTGAGAAAAATCTCGTCCTTACCTACGACATCGAGGGGTTTATCAAATGTCAAAATAGAAACGGAGGTACTTTGTAACCATTACGTCTTTTTTTTATTTATGCTCTTACGAACCGCCCTTATTGAGCTGACGTGAAGTTGATATAAGTTGTCATTGTTGCTGTTGTTGTTTCCGTCGTTGTCGCTGTTGCTGTCGTTGTTGCTGTTGTTCTTTGATGGCTGACATTCCGGCGATTTCGCCTTCCCCAGAGCCGCGATGTTGCGAATGGGATTGAGTCAATCTCAACAAGGGCGGTTTGTAAGGTCATATAAATAAATATGTCGATTATTTATGCCGAGGTTTACAGAAAGTCGGTCTTTTGAGTCATCACGTCATTATTTGAGCTTAGAACTCAGAAGTGAACCCTGTACATTTCACAGATTGATCGAATATCTGAGTTCACTGGTAACGCAACACATGTCACTAACGAGCGGATCGGGAACATGAATGATTACCACGTAGATTCTAGCGATGCTTTTTCTGACTCGGGTTACGATCTAGACGTGGAGGATGAAGCTTATGATCTTTCTCAGTACAAGGATGATGATGTAAGCAATTCCAGGTTTTCATTAGACTTTTGACAATCCATGGAGTTCTTGCCATATTTTAAGAGGTTACTATCTTTTGTTTTTTTCTTGAAATTTGCTTCTAGATCTACTCTGATGTTAAGTTCGAGAGCGATTTCCGTGCTGCCACTCATATGGGTCGTAAAAGAGGTCGACCTAGAAATCCACCTGGCAGTGTTAGTTGCGTGTTTCATTGCAGCGCGGATGTTTTACTTTATTCGACTTATCCAACGAATATCTGAGTATTCTTTATTTCTCACAACTGTTTGTTTGTCTGTTCGTAGGGGTGATTCCTTGCTTATTCTATGGAACATTTTTTTACATTGTATTTTTCATAAATTGTGACACGAAGGATATGGTGGTTACTTTTTAACCTCTGCAAAAAATTTTGCAGGGTTTTGTAATTCCGTTGTGCTAAGCACTGTTTGAGTTGCTTGAATTTACCACCAATCTTTGCTTATGTTACTTGAGTGCTACTTATTCTCCACGAGTCCACAAAGTAGATTTTTAGGAGCCAGCTGAACATTCCAAAGTGCGGGTAAGTGATCCAAATGGAAAATACAAGTGTTATATGCCAGACTGTGACTGGAAAGGAGCGTACAGGTCTCTTCGATGTGACCACATGAGATGGTGCCATAAGGACTGGGTCATGCCTCCACGATACATCTTACAGGTTTTTAAAGTGTTCCTTACACATGTTGGATGCATCACGAAGATTTACTATATCCCTTCAGCGTATCACGAAGGACGGCATCTATATCGATCCGAAGACATTTGTACCACCGTTTTCCTGCCCTGTTGAAGGGTGCGAGTGGAGAGGGAGCTATAGGTAGGTTTTGACTGTCATCTTTCTGTCAACCTCCATTTCATATTTGATGATGGTTTAGTTGTAATCTTTTAATGTTTCTCAGAGCTTCTCGTTCACAACATATTAAAAGTGCTCACCCATGTTATGTACCTCCTAAGAAAAAAGCGCCAATTGTGAGTCATTTTTGGTGTTGTTTTCCAGTTCTTTTCTGGTAAAAAAGTTTTTCTTACCAGAAAAATGCTGGCTAATGTGGTCTTTTGGGAGATGAATTATTCGAAAAACATTCTTCTTCAAATTTTGTTTTCGACTTTTTATGAAACTTAGATTTAAACCGTTAAATATCGAAGTGTTTAGGGAGGATATGTGGCTGATGGCAAATATTTATGCCATATACCACAGTGTACATGGCGCGGTATTTCTCGATCAACACGTGCTAGCCATATGAGAAAAGTTCATGGCGGATTTGCAAATCCAGCTTACTCCACGCGGCAAGTAAGCTCAAATATAGTATTATTTTAAACAAATCTGCGGAAGTGGTCCAGGTTTGTGTATGATTTCGCAGGAAAATTCCCCATGTACTATTTGTAGCTGCCGATAGTGTAAGAAAGAAGTGTAAGGTCTTAGTGGGTGAGGAAGTAACTTACTTGGATACTTGGAAGTTCCGACCTCACAGGTTCTGCGGGCCTCAGGATAGTTTCCACTTTTTTCGGTGAAAGTGACTGACAAATACAAATATAAAAGGTAATGTAGGAGGAGGTCTTATGTATCTCGAGGTTTTTAACATTGCCACCTATTTCCATTTGTGATGTATTTCATCTGCCCTTACGTTTTTATTTTATCCCATCTTTCCTTCTTACCTACTCTTTTTTGCCGTTACTTTTCTTTTCCATGTTTTATGCTACCTTCTATTTTCCTTGTCTCTTCTTTATCTCCTACTATCGGCACCTATTGTATTTAATTTACATGCCCAAGCATTGTTCATATGATGTGGAATTTTCGACCAGATTTGTTTCCATCATGGAGTAATATTCCTCCATGTTTCAAAACCGGCTTTTCTTTAACCTTAATATGAATATTTGGCATGTGTTCTATCTATGACATGCTTACAAGAGGTTGATAAGCAGTATTTATTCGGCTACGTTTCGACATCCTCTTCTTTATCATTACCGATGATCCGAGTCGACGGTCCACAGTTGTTCGTCTTCTAGATGTGGCGTTTTCGTTGAATCATCGACTATTGTCTCTGGTGAAGACGAAGACGTCGAAACATCAGTGGAATAGAGATTGCTTATCAGCCTAGTGTAAGCTTATCAAAGAATGAATACGTTCCTCGTTGTTTCAAGTGGTATCGAGCTCATAATTGTGTGGAATTCTAGGTGGCATGTTGTGACTGTACGGCTACTTTCGGTTCTCACAAGGCTTTTGTTGACCATATGATCAGTGTGCATCGTGTCGGTGGATTGGTACATCGAGACTTCAATGATATCGGAGAATACGAAGTGGGTCCGCTAGATTTCACAATATCCTCGTCAAATTTTTATGGAAAAGAATTCTATTACTAAGGAGTGGTTCAATTCGGTACAAGATGTCTTCAGTGTTGTTTATGTGAAACGAATGGGAATAAAACACGGAAATGACTATCAGGTTTTTTTTTGAAATTGTAGCCTCTTCACTGAAAATTCATAAGTTAAAGCAGTGTGAATCTAGGTTCTTTATCTGTACTGTGCTCGTAGCGGTGGGTTCCGTCCCAAGCAGGTACCGGGTCGAGACTACTTTCCTGAATTTACCAAACGCCGCTTGACCCGTCGTCCAACAAAGTGTGGTCGAAATTGTGCGGCCTTTCTTCGGGTACTTTTTAGCAATGACTGTTAATGAGTTTCTCATCAACAGCTCTTATGTAGCTTATTAAATAACTCATATGTCAGATAATTCAATGGGTTGATGGGCGTTTAACAGTGATCGGGTGTGTTGAGCACACTGGACATCGTATGGGTACAGCGCTGTTAAGACTGAGCACCAATGAACGAGTAGTTTTAGATGAATATCTCTACGTAGTGGACGATAAGGTCCCATTAGACGCTATGCTAGATCGTATTCGAGGTGAGGCAAATTTTATTTTTTTATAAGAGATATTAGTATGTAGGACATCTTTTGATTCGTCTACACCGTAGTGGTTTGAATCCTCTATAGTAATGGTAAATATGTTTAAATTACAGAAGTAGAGGGTTTCACAATGGACGGCTTTGAGGTTAGGGAGCGGAACGTGGAAGACATGACAAGATACGTGATGAATGAAAATGAGTTTATTTCTCTCAAGGTATTGTTCGAGGTAGGTCTCGCTCATTTTTTCCTTTGAAGTGAACAAATTTTTACTAGAAATAAACTAATTTGAAGTGGCGGTGCTATGTATTACGAATGACTACGTTTTCATGGCAGTTGTAGGCTTAGTGTGAGAAGTCAAGATTCCAGACTTCTTCATTTTTTGAACCTAATTCAACATTCGCCGTAAATCTATTTGACGCCGAAGGAAGAGAGCTATCTGAAGGGGTATCATTTGGTAAGCTTAGATAAGTAGAAACACTAGTAACCGTGTTTGAATAATGATTTCATCAGGAATTATGACGTCGCAAATGCGAGAGTTATGGGCAACCTGTTCAGCAAGGGCGGCTTGTATTGAAGAGGTTAGTTTTGTGGCAAATTTTTTTTATCGAATTTTTCTTACGAGTGGTCTAAAGTGTTAGATACATAACACAATTTGAAGTTTTGTTTTAATATATTTCATCTAGTTGAGAACGTTAGACATCATGGGAACAGGGAATTATTCAATTATAAAAATTCGTCCCAAAATTCAATTTGCTTCCCTCACTAAGTCTGTGCAGAGGGCACATGCAGCGCAATGTTCAGAGGCACCCTGCAATACACATGGGTTCGGCTCGAGCCCGACACTCACCAACGTCTCCCTCCCTCCGGGATCGGCAAGTTGGTACCAGACTTGTCTGGGAGGATAGTAGCACTGGCCCGATACGGTGGCAGGCCACCGCGAGTAAAAGCCAAATATGCATTCAATCACCTCCAAACGTTGCTTAATGAAGTCGAATGCATGGCGCTTCTCTCAAGGATTGTTCAACGCCGGGAGCTTTATCTATTTAAGTTTGTGAAATTAATTCACCACATTTGTTGTTCTATTTATTGTTATGCCAATTTCTTACAGGTCAATTTGCTCATAAGTAATTTCGAGCTTCACCTCTTTTTTGTCATGGTATTTGATGCAAACGATATGCCACGTTGTGCATGTGTTTTTATTTCACAAAGTGCTGACAAAGTGTCCCTTTTTGAAAAACTGCGTTCAGTGTACGTTTCTTATCCAACTATTGTTTTGATTTTATTACAAAGGGGTTAAAATAGTTATTGGTTACTTCTTAGATAGATTCTAATCGGGTCAAAGTCGTCCCACTTGTCCAACTTCAGATCATCTTCACCGGTTGATACAATAGTAACAGACTGTTCTCCCGAATGGCCCCCTCTACTTGAAGCCTATTTTGGAAATGAAGCATATTCTTCTGACTTCCAAGTAAGTATCCAGGTATTTGCTGCTTCCTTGATACTGTACTATGGTGCATTCTTATTTAGCTCTCTTAATAATTGTGATAGAGATCTCGTATATTAGATCGCTGAATGGCATCTGTTATCCGAGTGGGCAACAAGGCTAGATGAGATGGTCTCTAATCGTGTGGATCGTTTTGCCATCATTTGTGCATTAAGAAGATGGACCCGGTACCGCTTTTTTTCAGTTCACTCGGCCATAATGTACTTTACACTCTAATATTTACTGCATCTTCTCCATAAATATATGCTCAGGGCTACTGATCCTTCTCTATTCGAGGGAATAGTCATCGACATGTTTGAGGCGTTTCGAGAAATGGAACTAAATTCTTTAGCACAACTTGTTGATTCACAGCTGACCGATCCAGAATTTGCTAAACGGTTAGTTTGATACCATTGTTATCATCCATACTACACATTCTTTATTACAGTTGGACGCCACTGAATCGAAATCCTCTCACGGACCATAGCAATCCTGTCCTTGAAATATCTTGCAGGTGTATAAACTTTAACTACTCTCTTTGTAATTCCCGTCCTAATAAGCAATGAATTCTGCATAACTTATGAAGGATTGGTTTATTACGGTGCTTTAAGAGAGTATGTAATATTTTTGACATCGGAAAATGGTGTATAATTCCACTATACTTCAGTATGACGTCAGTTTGAACTACTTAGCCACATGGGTGGTTCTTCTACAAGCATTGCGCGCCAAGGATAATTTACATCAGTTAAATTACTCTTAGCTACGGTGACGCAGATCATAGGTGATCCTGTGTTAAGCGCATTCCATAAGTTTGTCTCGAAACATTTTATAATTTTGCGGAATGTCGGACGGGTGATTGCTGTTCGTAATGGTAGATAGAAAACTAGCTGACAGAAAGGCGAAACGAAGGACTCACATGGTGGGGTGGACGCCTTAGTCCCAGCAGAGTAATAGCGCATTCATTCCCCACCGTAAACACCTGCGGTCCGGACCGGAGTTTTGCAAATATCTCAGCATCATTGTGGTTGTATCACACATAATACCCTGCCGTGAAAAATTGTAATAGGCAGTAAGTAAAAAGACTAACTTTGTAGAATATTCCGGGAACGCTTCCTCAACTGTGAGTTATGCGCACGATTAGATGAGTACGCTGGACTTCTGGTTGAAAGAATCGCTGAGTTCAATGCTTTAATGGTTGGTCATTCAACAATTCACAATTTTGAATTGCTGTGTTTTACCGTAGTTCAGCTTTCTGAAGTCTACACCACCTCCAACCTAGAACCACCTCGTCAAGTTACTCACATCTATGAGGATATGTAAGTCGTTCATTCGAAAAATCTTACTTTAGATCACTTTTAAGACTGCCAGTTTTAGTGACCCTTCACAGCTTCTAGCCGATGGCACTCTACTAAGTTCTTCACAACACAGTGTAGAAGTTATGCAGTCTTCGGCCGACCCTGGAAAACAAGATCAACTGATGTTCAATAACAAGCGAATGAAAGCAGAGGTTGAGGACGAGGTTGCGTTTCTCCAATTTGTGGGGCTCACAGTTTTGTAAACTGTTGTAATCTAATAGTCATCGTATTTGGATCGTGAAAGGTTGGGAACCGGATTACCTAGGGAAAATATTGTGGTTTCACTTTCAGTGTATTCTGCAGTTAATTCTGGAATAAAACCGACTAGGTAGGTACCCAGTGTCACATGGTGGTTCATATTTAAGACTTAGCGCATTTGTGTATAGCAATTTCTAACGGCTTGTTTGCTCTGGAATAGTTTTATCACGGAATACTCCCTACATGGATAGGTGAAGTCATTGTGGGTTTTGTGTAAAAGATGTTTCAATGTTACATTGTTATTGAACGTTGGGGAGCTGCTTTGCGCTTACAATCGATGTTATCTCAGGAAGCACTTAGGTGCGTAATATCACATTCTTTTATGTAAAGACTAAATTCATACCCGCTCTTAGTTAGTCCTATGAAATGGTGCTTATTGAACTTATTTTTTACTCTTTTTCCTGGTATACCGTTTTTGAAAATATAGTTTGCAGATGAGTGCTTACGTCGTTGTTGGGGAAGAAGAGGTGGTACTCGACGAAGTTGTTGAAGGCGCTGAAGCTGAAGAGGTAAATTACGAGTGCGCTTCATATTTGTTTATAATCATTATAGTTAATTTCAGTTAATAGAGGAAGCTATATTAGGTGAGGCTCCTGGTCAGATAGATAACACTAGCGAACATATGGAAGTTGTTGATAGAAGTGCAGCGGGGGGAATAGTTCATGGTGGCTCCAGTTCAGATGCGAAACGAAAAGCAAGGTTGAAACATATGATGCAGGTATTTTCTTTTCTTGTGTTCTCATCTTCTTGCTAAGAAGGAAATTCGGATTGCATCCAGATTCTGCATGAAAAGGTGGAATGTTTGGCGGATGATGAAACAATGGAATTAGTGGAAACAGGCTTATCACACGTTGTCGAACAGTTGAAAACTCCCTCGTCGAATGTGCAGGTGACTTTGGAGTTACTCATGCACTTATAATTGTACAATATTTCAATACTTACAAATTCATTGCAAATACTACAGTAGTTTAACGGAAGTATCAGCCTCCCAATTGGGCGCGTCTGACGTAGTGGTCGGAGGCGCCCTGCAACATTCACATGGGGTAGATCCCCGCGCCCATGGCCCACCAAGCCCTCCGGGGTCGGCAAATTGGCACCAGACTTGTCAGGGATTATAACAGCATTAACTCGATGCATCGGTGGGTCACCGCGAGTCATCGTAAAGGCCAGATATGCATCCAATCACCTCCAAACGGTGCTTAATGAAGTCGAATGCATAGCGCTTCCTCAGTGATTGATTAACGCCGACAGCTTTATCCTTTATCCTTATTATTAGCTTCCCAAAGGGATTATGTCTCCTTTATGGGTTTAGATAGTGTTGTTATGCGAAATGTAATTGATTCTAGTTGGCTTTTAAGTACAGTTCTCCTGCAATGTTTGAAAGGATAATTCGGTGCTTATTAGATGGAAAACCTTTCTTCATTCTCCTAGTAAAGTTGGTGCCAAATATTTCTTAAAAGTAGTAAACATCGTCATGAAACGGCCAAATGGCAAATAAATGGTGTTAACAAGCATATTTTCTGTTAATATGGAGTTAGTATTGATCTAAACTGCCTGAGCGCTTCCCGAGCTAGCGTTCCGAGTTTCTGTATTGAGGTGATAATCCTTGCATATGAATATACAGGCTGATCACTTTCATCCAATTTTTCATTCGTGAAGCTTCACCATGACTTCGTTTCCCGAAGCAGATTTCGAGCAGCAGATAAGACGTTATCGTAGCTCATCGGTGAACATCTTTTGCATGTGCGCGACATAATTTTAAGGCCCATTCGAAAGAATTATTGATGAAAGGATAGAGCACATGGCGTTGATTAATGCCTGAGGAGTGCGTCATGCATTCGACTTTATTAAGCATGGTTGGAGATGATTGAATGCATATCTGGCCTTTATAATGACTTATGGTAGCCTACCGATCTACCAAGTCAGTGTTGCTATCTTCCCAGACAAGTCTGGTACGAATCTGCCTACCCTGGAGGGACGGAAGGCTTGTTGAGACTGAAACGCGGGATCGATCCCATGTGTATCTAAGGGAGCCTCCGACCACTACGCTGCACACGCGCTTAAATTATTGTTATAACGGGTATGTCTAGGTATTTTTAAAGACGGTAGTGATTATAGCTACTGTGCTGTTGAAAATAAATGCTGAGTCCCATCCATTACAGACTCGAAAGAAGTTTTTTGTTCTCTTTGTAACACGAATTTAAGAATTTATGCGTTAATACTCCGCAAAATTATGCGGTAGTTACTCAAAGATTCCTTTGTAGTAGTTGTGCTAGAAATTTCAATACATTAAAGTGTTGCCAAAACGTAATTCAATGGCATGAACCTCGCTAGTCTATGTTTCAGCACACGACGCCTCGTCGATCTGGTCGTATTCCAAAGCCAATTTCTCAACATTTCTCATGATTTAGATTTTAGTGTTTAGATCTCCACCCAAATCATTTGAAAACTACACATGTATCTTAACTGAGTAGTGCAGAGATAACTGCGATCGTTGTTGTACATTGGGTTTCCACTTCTATAAAGAAAATATTTTTTATTGCCATGATAATACTTGGTTGTTTTATGGGGATATCGATGCAATGATGATTCGTGTATATTTCCTTCCATTCAGTGTTGCAATATCAATAATGGTCACAACCGTGCAGGGTTTTAGCTCATATGTCAGTTGAAACCGTACCACGTGATTTGCGTAACTTACGTGCGTGTCTACTTTGTTCGTTAGTGAAGTCGTTGGAACAGTTCGAAATGGACGGTTGCGAGAACTGCGATCGTGTTCTGCATATGAAGGGTGATACAGACAAAGTCTATGAATGCACGAGGTGAGTAATGTCCTGTTATCATTTTTTTCGACGAAGGGTGTATGAGTTTTCCTGTTTCGTTTTCAGCACAAATTTCGATGGAATGATTGCTTCTATGATGCCCGAGGAGTCATGGGTTTGCAAGTGGCAGGTGCTCCTTTCCTATTCTTCAGTGTTCTCTAATTCATGTGGCCTTGGTCCATTGGACATTATTCCAGAAAATCAATAGGAAATGCAAGGGTGTTTATGCGATATCTGTATCTGGATCTCTACCCCCTTCTGTTGTATCCGAATTGAAGACGGTTGGAATACGATATAAACCTGGAATGCGAGATACTGCTTCTAAATAAATGGTGACCTACCTGTTTCACTTGTATCAAGTCATAGTGACCGTAGAGTATGGATCTACGTGTTCCACTGTTAATCTATTCTTCACTGTTACATGTGTACGCATACTATACATCAGTTGGTTATTATTAATGTGCCACAATCTACCAACCACAAATACAAGGAGCGCGTGTGGCGCAGTAGTCGGAGGCGTCTTGCAATACAGCTGAGATCGATCCTTGCACTCATGCCCCATCAAGCCTTCCATCCCTCCGGGGTCGGCGAATTGGTGCCAGACTTATCTATGAGGACAGCAGCACTGAGCGGATACATTGGCAGGCCACCGCGACTGGTTGTAAATGCTACATATGCATTCAGTCACCTCCAACGATGCTCAATGGAGTCGAATACATTGCGCATCCCTCAGGATTGGTCAACGCCAAGAGTTTTATCTCTTTTCTAATGTGCAACAATATATTACTTATGTAGCAGCTCGGACCTCACAGATGGTTTATTATGCTAAATTACGTAACAATTTATTAGGATTAACACTCAGCACTTATGACTAGCTTACTTTTCATATTTGTTGGACGTAGGGAGGGATACATTAAAATTCATAAAGGTGTCACATTGTTTCTTTTTATTAAGGCGCACAGAAAGAGAAATACTGGCAAAATATTACAAATAAAATAGAAGTTCTCATAACTCGATGGCGGAGAAAAACACTTTGGAAAGCACCGATTTTGGCAATGCAAATTATTCGTTCATCACGTATTTAGCAAGCAAGCTGTTACAATCCTTTCTGCAATCTTGACCCAGCAAAGGGAAAGATATCTGTGCAGATTACTTGCCATTTCTATGGAGAATACTTGAGATGTGAATATAGTTTCACTTGAAGTCGCTCATATATACAGTGAGACGTTATGACATCTTCTCAAGAATGGGAATAATCTGGTCGAAATTTGGTCTTCTCCCCGGATCTTCGTTCAGGCAAATGTTCATCAATCGAGCCATGTTTCGTGCAATACCAGGAGGAATTTGAACTCGCAAACCTTCAAGTGCAATCTGGAATGGAAAGCGCTTCGTACTATAGCGTAAGAAAGATTAAGATGGTAGTTGTTACACGGAAATGTACGTAATTCTTCACATATATATATATTCATGTATATATATATATATATATATATATATATATATATATATATATATACGCTTCCATCTTACCTTCATGCCACATTCCATGGGTGAAAGATCGGCGAATGGCACCTCACGGGTGTTCAATTCCCATAATAAAATACCAAAGCTCCACATATCAGCAGCACGGATATTCAGATCTTCTGGATCTCGTTGGAGTGCTAGAAAATTGTTATACAGCGAGACGCAAATGAAATAATACATGAAATGGAGTTTTTGTTCAATGACTATTAACCTTCCGGACTCATCCAAGCTGGTGAGTATATTCGTCCTACTTCTTGGAACGAAAACTTTGTATCCGCCATGGAGAGCTTTGCAGTTAACTCTTCATCTACTACAATATGTTTCGATGACAAATAAAACCTGGAAGATGTCATTAATTGAGGATGGGAAATAGTAGTTAAGAGAAAGTATTTCGTTTTTGATAGATGCACCGGTAGATAGAAAACTAGATGAGAGGAAGGCGAAATAAAGGACCCGCATGGTGTGGTGTTGAACGCGTTAGCCCCGGAAAGGGTAACAGTGCGTTCGTCCCCCATCGCAGACACCTGCGGTCGGGAGTTTTGGAAATATCTTAGCATCATTATGGTTGTACTACATTTCCTTTCCACCACTATCCATTAATGTAGATATCACTCTTATTGTTACTACTCCTATTACTGTCATGAGTCTCTATAAGTTAACGGATCTCTCACAAGAAGTCTTCACTTTGTCAGCCGTGATGGGATGTAGTCTTCCAGACGAGGTAGACAAGGTGTTAAAGAGAGAACGGGGGTCCATGTGCTTATCCTGAGAGATACTCAGTTCCAAGAATGATTTCTGTTTTACTAAGCTGGCTTCATTTAAGCCTTACGTATTTATGAGATCATGTTAGTGTATAACAGTGTGGGTGTGCTTCTCTATACGAACAAGTAATCCTCACATTTATTCTGGAGAAGTTCGACAATCTACCCATCGACATATCCAATTCCCATGACAGAATTCGACGACCAAAAGACGAGGACCTCCTCATTAAAATGTAAGTGTAAAAATTGTGTGCTGAATATGAAGAGTGTTATGTTTTTCGCATCAGTACAGCGAATGAGGCTTACTCACTAGCTCTTCTATTCCAAAGGGACCAAAAAGACGTTGCTGTTGCCTGTTCAGCTTAATCGACAACTGACAGGAGTTCATTCGATCCCTACTATTATCCACCCAGTAAGGTTCTCCACGTTGTTGCTATTACTAGTGGTATTTTTATTCCTTTTTTTTATACGATCCCTCTCTACGTCTACTATGCGGATCCTAGCACTTCCCAGATACGATCCGTTTCCTAGCATCCATCATCCACTAAAATCTTCCAAATTCTAGGTATGGCTCCTGCTACTTCTTGAGGATTTTCATTTCTTCTCAAATGCCGTAGAATACTGGTCCAGTCGATTCTCGTTGGAGTCCTGATATAGTCGGGCTGGAGCGCTCCAAATTAGATTCCAAAGAATGATTTTTTACCAGACATGTCCGGTACCAATTTTTCGACCCCAAGGGTATGACAGGCTTCGTCAGCTTCGGGCAGGACCGAGCCAGCACCATGCTCGTGATGATGGAAGTCGATATCACTATGCTATCTGTCCCACTAGTGATATTGTTATTAGCAGTTACTTATTCCCTCTAAGATCTACCGTCCTACAACGGATTACCGCTTCATCGTGGCTAGGAGGTGTTCTTGGGTGTCGCGCTACGATGTACAGCAAGGAGATTCGTGCCTCTGGCGGGGTCTCCCAAGCTGAGAAGGAGTTCGGCGTTTCTATCCGGCAACCCAGATAAGGGTAAACCAATACACCACTGTGTTGATATAGAATTTTTCGAATGGTGACAAATCTCCCTCTCATCCACAAGGGCTGCGACTGTCTATGGTGGTGACGACCTGGGAGAGACTTTGGCCTGGCTGACTTCGGGACTCTAGGGAGGCACAATAAACCAGCAAAGCTCTAAAAAGTGGAGATTACTCTGGAGCCCACACAACTAGTGAGGACGGGTTTTCCAAGTAAGTAAGTGAGATCTACAGTCATGTAAAATTTTCATCCAGATTGAAAAGCTCATCTGTATAGAACCAAACACCAGTCATAAATAGCTCGCCCCTCTCCAATTTTTCTTTCGGATGTCGAACATTTCCTTTTTAGGTTTCTTTTTTTACATGATCTGTGATCTCATCTACCGTAGATCCCTGCACATCCTGCAATCGATTCGTTTTTCTAGTATTCATCGTCCATGGTGGTCTTCGAAAACTTCGCTTGTTGTTTCGGCTGCTACATAGGGATTCCATCTTCTTAATCAATGCCGTAGAGTACTGGTCGAGTCATTTTCCCTTGCAATCTTGGAGATAGCCGATCTAAGGCGTTTCCAGATGAACTGCAGAAGATCGTTGGGGAAAGGGTCCAACTAGTCCCTTGTTTCGTAGACGACGGTATCACCAACCACTGGGTTTCATTAACACATTGAAACATACTCACCTTAGAATGGGGGGATCCAAGCTATGTAAATAGGACATTCCACGGGCGATATCGACGGCAAAGCGCATTGCTTGACTATGATCGATGACTACGGCTTAAACTACGACACATAAGACGTTTTAATCAAAAAATAAATTTAAAAAAAATAGAGGCACTGACAGCTTTGTTCATGCAGTACATTGTATAGGCTTCCGAAAGGCATGTATTGACTGATGACGACTAAATTCGGGGGCTGATTAGCGGCCGCCAACACGGGACAGATGTTGCTGTGCGCAAAGATCCTGGAAGTTGTGATGTAAATTTGATAGTCTTTACATACAGTACTTGAGACTAATAATGAACAGCGAATTTCATCATGATAACAGTTATATTGTAAAACTTATGGAAAAAGTACACATCTGACATTAATAACTAGCGAGGGATAGTTCAGGAATAAACTAAACAGTAGCCTTCTCAAAGCAAATCATTACCATTACGAGGAGATGCTTAGGCTCATTCTATATCTATGGTATTCTCGTTAGTGTAAGGACACTTTGGAACAACATAGTTCCTTTAAATTGTTTGGAAGCGCTCTGCTTCAGAAACTGCTTGGTCTTAGCTTAACGTTTTCAGTTGTGAAAGAGGTCAGGTCAAAGCGCCAAAGAAAAAAGGGTTAGATTAAACACTTGAACATTGATAGTTATATGATATGAACATAACATTGTCGAAATTAAAATCTTCACCAGCGAACTGTGCCATACCTGAGTGCCGGAAATTCGGTTTGAAAATCGCGGGAGATTCTTGGAGTGACTTCCTGAACGGCTAGAATCCGGGCCACAATCTCATTTCCTTGCCATTTACCGCGCCAAAGTTCGCCCGAATGAGATTCGGCAACCTAAACAAGAAATGTTTGCGAAAAGCGAGAGAAACCTTGTGCATGAATATTATTCGGTGATGGACGAAGTGTTCTAACTTCAATGAATGCTTTGTTATCGCCCTATTTCAAAAGTGAAAAGCGAATGAGAGATCGTTGAAAATGTTCATTCCCGTGAAGCTCACTTATTATTGAATACAATCGTGAAATGTCCGTTGTTCTTCACAATACGAGAAACAGCTGGAAATTACAATCTTGAGGACGAGACTATTCATTCTATTGAGTCTTTCCCAAGAGAAAACTAACACCCAAAAGAAAGAAAGTGGCTTCCGTTTTCAAACGTTCAAATAAACCTATCAAGTAGCGGTCACTTGACAAAGTGGTATCGAAAGCCAAGTAACAAGAACATCCTCGTTCATTTCCTTTCTCCCCACACTTCACACATAAAGAGGGCGCTTGTGAGAAACATGTTTCGAACAGCCACCTCTGTGTGCACTACCAGGGAATTAAAGGAAGAATCGCGCGACTTGGCTGGGCAAATAGCCATCTCCAATGACTACGAAGTAGTAACCCCACGAGATAAGTTTAGAAGAAGAGCGACGCACCTAAGCGAAACATATTGCCGAAAGAAAGTCCCGTTTATGTTGCTTTTTATAAGCGATGAAGTAAGCGTAGCTATTAAAATGCTTAAGAAAGGCAGGTCTGGACGAATCGGTAGCGATAGTTGAAACACCACCGACTACTCTAAGTCCTCAGTTAGTTCGTAACCGCCTGTATGACCGTCCATGTGAAACACCAAATGGCGTAATTTGCCCTTACGGCAGGGACGGTGATTGGATGAGTTCAGGTACGATATACCTGATCTCTTGTAATAATCGCGGAGATGAATATATTGGTGAAACGGGCAGACCTCTGTGTAACCGTATAAAAGAACACCTAGATGGTAAACGAAAACTAGGACAGACAAAGTACCCCACTAGGCACGCATAGGATACAAAAGCGTAGCGGAGACGATTTTGAAGTAAAAGTTAATATCCTTGCACAGGAGTCCAAAACACCGGCGTGAAAACTCCTTGAGGCTTTCTGGATAGATGCCAAAAACCCTACAATGAATAGCAGGGACGAATGCCCGGAGGTCATACGCGACCTGATCCCGTACGTTCGCATCGATTTTTGATGTGGGATGGTGCAGTCGTCAACCACATGCGACTATAATCAGCTGTTCTAAACTTCCTCATTGGAAGTCACGAAAAAGTTGTGGGTTTTTCGAGAAGTCGTTGATCGTGTAATTACCAAAGAGTCTTTCGTCTTTGTGTAAGTGTTATTGAAGCGTTTGGCCTAGTAGATTGTATATCAGAATACCCTTCCAGGCTCTGAAGAAGACGATACTGCCGAAACGTCAGCTGGCGTTGTATTGTATTGTGTTTTTATGGAAGTAAATGTATGCTGTTTAACAACCTCGCGATTTCTGAACAAGAAAACGAACGATGCGCTCAAAAGAAACTAGAGACAACCAAAAAAAGTATTCACAGAATCTAAACCATCTTATATTATGATAACAAGGGCTATGAGAAGTCAACTGGACAGTCAGCGAAATACTGCTCCATCAGCTTTAAAAACAGTACTTGAAAATTTTCTGACGGACCTTAGTGATTAGATTGAGCGACGAGACATCGACTCCGGTGTATCGGGAGAGAGTCGCATCACGAGTACGAGACTTCGTGCCTTTCCATGTTTGATCTTTGAACGGGATTCGTTCGTTCGGATTCTGGCCGTTTTCTATCGCAATCTCTGAATACGACAATGCTCAGTGATATGAAGACCATTCGAATTTGGTTACATCTTGTCCTTGTGTCTCGACTCATTCTTCGGTGGCTCGGTCTCGCCATATAGTGGTGAATGCTCTTTTCGTGAAGCCATACCTATATCTAAGTGATTTCATAACGTAGTCAGTTTTTATTTACTGCCTATTCTTTTCTTCGGCAGGGTATGATGTGAAATATAAGCAGAACGATTCCGAGATATAATTTCAATGATGCTGAAATATTTGCAAAACTCCGGAGCACAGGTGTCTGCGGTGGGGATCGAACCCACTATTACCCTTTCCAGGGCTAACGTTTTCGCCGCCATAGTATGCAGGTCTTTCATTTCGCCTTTCTGTAATTTTGGTTATCTAAATGACTATTCTCCTGTTTTTATTTACTTCTCAATAAGCAGCTATCATGCCATATAACTGTAATCTGGTTGTTTCCGTTTCGAAGCAAAGACACCGATTTCTAATTTTTTTTCTTCATGCTTCTCGCTAACCCAAGGACCTATCTCTTACCACCTTACACCTCTTCTTAAACGGCTCTTTTCGATTTTATCTGTAATTTAATTCATTCATAACGAAACTGCATTTTCGACAACTGTGAATAATTCTGCAGTAATTAGAGTACTTCTGAACCAGATGACTTGACAGGTTTGCATAACAAGTTTTGAACTTCGCTTTTACAGTATAAAAACTTATATTGAGTTGTTCCAAAAATCGAAAACTACAAGAAACTGAAGGCGAAGTTTACCTTCTTGAAAATTTTAGACCTTACGGCATATCTTGATTGTAACACTGAGTTTAAGATGGTTGAATTTTATCGCTGTTCTGATTTTTCAAACCTTCTGGAGACATGGCAGAACTCAATTGTAACTGCTCGTTCGTAAGACAGTAGAAAAGTAAAAAAGGTCGATAAATGTGTAACAAATGGACTGAACAATCAGGAAAGAGATCATCGGGATGAAGTTCACATTACACTTCCTGCGCAACAAAAACAACCACTTATCGCTAGAAATGCGGTGTGCGATGAAATCTTAGTCCTCAACGACAAAGCTCGTGAAAAATTTCCAAAGGACAAATTTGCACTATAGAAAAATGATGGTGACCACTTACTGAGTGGATCCGGATTAACCTAGCACAAATTTTTGAATACTGAAGAAGCGACAACAGAAAGGAAGTACGTGGAAGTGAAGTAATCACAAAAAATCAGTTGAATCCATTAGAAATTGCAGCGTATATAATGAGTAATGGTCAACGACAGCCTGAGTAGTTGCGCCTTCAATACGCTGATGCTGTGGTTCGACTACGCGTCGAGTCAAGCTCTCCATATATCCTATGTGGAGAAATTGATGCCAAACCTGTCTGGATTTAAGTCACCCCTTCCAATGCACAAGAGCTGGTGGCTTCACGTTATGACGATCTGGGAACGTTCTAGCAAGGGTATCTCCGATTTCCGGGAAAATGCAGGTCTTTCATTTCGCCTTTCTGTAATTTTGGTTATCTAAATGACTATTCTTCTGTTTTTATTTACTTCTCAATAAGCAGCTATCATGCCATATAACTGTAATCTGGTTGTTTCCCTGTTTCGAAGCAAAGACACCGATTTCTAATTTTTTTTCTTCATGCTTCTCGCTAACCCAAGGACCTATCTCTTACCACCTTACACCTCTTCTTAAACGGCTCTTTTCGATTTTATCTGTAATTTAATTCATTCATAACGAAACTGCATTTTCGACAACTGTGAATAATTCTGCAGTAATTAGAGTACTTCTGAACCAGATGACTTGATTCGACGATATTGATAAGAGAGATCAAAAATCCCCAAGCGCAAGCCGAACCAAAGTGTAAATCCAAAGACTTTGGTGGATGATGGATGTAAAAAAAAAACGAATTGGATGAACGACGTGCTGGGATCCGGAAAATGTGTGGTGTTGGGTCCTGTGATATAAAATAAAACAAGAAAAGTGGTCAACATCAACATTCAACCACACGTTGCGGTAGAGTTTGAGTCGATTCCGCTATGGAACTGAGAGTTTCTTCGGAGAGCTTGCTATTTCCAGAACCATACAGCTGTGTTGTACAAGAATTTACTTGATACTGCTCATTCTGATTGATAAAGGTGTTTAAGCCGATTGAAGCATTTAAAAGCTCACGTTCAAAATTCGCCACTTTTTTTTTCGCCAAATCAATATGATGGAATAACCTAGTAAAAAAAACCAATTTCTGTCCCGAAAGGCGACTCCTTTACAAAAAGGAACTCTATTCTTACTCGTACATTCATAGTTTTGAGCAGAACATGTTCACTTATCCCACAAAACTTGAGTAGTATTTGAGAAGAGCAGTGAAAAATTAAACAAACTTCGTTCAGAGGGTTTTTGAAGAGGACTTACCAGCTATAGCTTGTCGAGACGGACCTTGACAAACATCCATCGGGGTATGTCCCCGCTTGTTGCATGCTCCAATTTGGGCTCCGGAAACGATCAAATCCTACAAAATTTCCGATAAATATGCGAAACTTAGCACGTAAATAAGAAATTTGCAATTCTGCAGTTATGCGTTTTTTCTCTTCATGACAGGAAAACCTCTTCAGGAAATCACCGTAGCTTACGACCGTAAAACCAACAAAAGAGTGGAATTCCGTAACATGGCTAAATCACTACTTCTTTCACTTCTTACACTATCTGTGGAAGAGGCTTTCTTATTTTATTTTACTTCACTTTACACAACTTATCATGACATCTACCGTGCCGATCACAACACTTTTTGCATTCGACTCGTTTTTCTTCCCATTCGGTCTTCGAACACTTCGTGTGTTGTTTCAGCCCTTCCTTAAGGATTTCATCTCCTTTACAAATGTCGTAGAATGCCTGTCAAGTCGCTTCTCTCTATCTTTGCAATCATTGAAACAGGCGATATAAGGCGTTCCCACGTAGAGTGGAGTCGACGGCATCACTAACCATTGCGCTAACCCCCTTTCCCCATTTAATAGTTAGTCAGTAGGATCTGAAGAAGCAAAACAAATAGAAGAGAACAGAAACCTCTGCGATCTGCTCAAATCCCCAATAACAGGCATAGTGTAATGGAGTCATTCCGTGCTCGTTAGTCGCATGCACATCAGCTTTTCGAGCTAGCAACTTCTGAAAGACGATCAGACAGCTGAAAGTTTATATGAAGAATTCTCATTGTTTTCTTAAACAGTCCTAAAAGGACTTTTTTAAATGGATGAAGAAACATGTAAAATGCTTGTTGGATTTGTCTTGATTTCAAAGAAATTAATAACAATTCCGTATGAAATTGCTTGATATAATCACAGCTTTACATCTAATGTAATTACGGCTTTAAAAAACCAGCGATTATTCCTATAAGATGAAGTTAGTAAGTTTTCAAAATGATAACGCTTTCCATCGACTCAGAAAGAAATTACACTTATTTCTAAAACTACACAATACCTCCTATGCTCCTTTTTTCCTGTTTACAACATCATTACTATTATTATTACTAGTTAATATCACTATTATTATCATTACTACTGGTGACACTACAATTAATATTACTGAGTATGGCTTTCTGTCAGCTAGTTTTTTACCGTACTACTAAGTATTTGAACAGCATGAGCCGCGGAAATAGTATTAATGTTCTAAATTTGTACAGCTGTCACGTCAGTTTTATGTATTTCTTCTAGAATGTTTCATCTCATTGATTACTGGTAAACTGAAAAATATGATATAGTAGGAGAAACTGACAACGACAATAGGTCTGTGTCCGTGGGCGGCAGCTAGATGGAGACTAGTGTCGTCGCCCATGTTGGTGGCGTTCACTCGCGCTCCTCTCGACAGAAGCATCTCAACGATGGATACGTGGCCTTCCTTCGAAGCCCAATGTAACAACGAGAACGCATGATCGTCACTGAAAATCAAAAACATGGCTGTCATGTCACTTTTCTTTTCCATTAATAAAACTGCTAAATCTGGGTGGTTTGAACACGAAAGCTTTTTGAGCGAGATGATGCAGGCGAAACCTGATTGAGTTCAATGTTAACCTCTTCCACTCCGTAAGCACATTGAAGTGTTTTTTCCGGCCGCATTTCCAGAGTTGATGTGTGCTGTGTTCGTATCGTTTCTTTCGATTTTACAGGTTAAGAAAACCTCGTTCTTAAAATATATCCTTCTTAACTATATTAACAATCCCTACGATTTTTACCGTACTGACGTTTTCTTATAGAACGTTTGAACGATTTCTTCTGAAACATAACCGGAACACACAATATTTAACCGCAATGAGAAACCCTGAACTTTGAAATCTATCTCATCCTCAAGAACCACGAGAACACACCGATAGCGAAACAGATGGATCGATCATATTATGAGAGGAATAGACAATAAACGGACAAAGAGAACCGTACAATGGACTCCACGACGAAGATTGCGTCCCTAGGACGACCACCTACAAGTTGGTGAGACGTGTTCGTAACCAAAGTCAAGTAGCTGTACTCGCAGCTGCAGTTCTTTTGTGGATCACGGCACGAGATTGGCACTCGCCACGAAGCTCTAATCAAATCACCACCATGGATGAGAATTGCAAGAGAAAGAAACGAATATAAACTGCGCTGGGGTCCGCACATCTCGTTAACACGGGCCATTCAACGATCCACACCAGTAAGCACTGACGCTCCCTGATCCAACGCCAGTTGTTGCTGTTCGTTTAATAATCTTAAACCACCCCAACTAACTTCATAATTTTACGCTAAACCTTTTCATAAGCACTATATCGGTCAGACGAAGACATGAGCAACGCCTTAATAGAATAATAAATGATGAGACATCTTGATAACAGCAAAGGACTCTTTTTTTCTTGCAAAGCTTCATAACCGTTGATTATAGGCTCACCCGACGTTGAGGTCGTGCTCGTGGTCATCTAGCCAGACGCGAACCTGGAATGCGTTTCCCTCGCGGACCCAGCCGAACACGTCCTCCATGATGATCGGCACATTCGGCTTGTGCTCGTGATAGTGAGAGGAGAGCGCCATCGGTGTTGTTGTCGTTTGCGGTCGCTAACCGCGACTCCAACTCTGAAGCACGGCTTCTCTGCAAGAAAATCACCGCACATATTGGCATATTACATGAAAAACTTGTTAGTACGATCAAAAAATAAACAATCCATTGATTCAGAAAAAAGGAGTCACCAATTTGCTCAGTTTGTAGTATTCAATAACCTACAGAAGCGGACCTACCATGATAACCAATGATCCCGATTCGGATCATTCCTAAACTGCCAGTATGCTAACCAATCTGACTGCCAGTTAAGCCTGACAAGGAATGAACTCAGAAGGCATGAAGAAAGCGCGTACGAAAGAGATCTGGGGAAATTTCCAATAAACAAAGGCACTGGTTAAACAGTGAACAACGAGGAAAGAAGAAAAGAGAAAGATGTCCAGATGTAGACAGGGAAAAGTGGATAAAACTTAAAAAAAGGATAAGGTTATCAACAGAATGTCAATGACTTATCGTGAGTCTTATGGAAAATTCAATCTATAACCAATTCATCGAGGTTTAGATGATGTGGGCTGGAACCGAACACAAAATAACACCCGCTATCGGGTCCTAACAAAGCGCTGAATCACTTCACAAAACAAATTCCGCAATATTACACTTGAACAGTTGAATGTTTCCACTTCATAAAAACTCGTGTGAAGTTCAACACAATCACCATTTGAGTGGAAACTTCCTGCGTGAACAAGATTTTCCTTCCATGGATCTACACATAACTGTGATAGTGGTTTTTCATGTCGTTCATCACAAGAAGTTACCAGCCCACCCATATGTGCCGGAAGGGGATTCGCTATGTTGCGATTGGGATGCTAACCGGATAACGAAAATCCTTGACATACTTAACTCTTAGCCAAGCATTTGAATGTAGATGTCAAAATTCCAAGTTTGTGAACTCTGTTGCAGGTAGGATGAATCCCAGTTTTACTTCACTGTTAGACATCCAGCAACACCTCCAGCCTAAAATGATGGAATAACTCACTTGAGTTGTGTGGTGCAATATTTAAAACACTATCGACCCTATATATAAATATTTCGTTGACCATTTCATAAAAGTTCAGCGATTTCACATTTCCTTTCTTGTGTCTTTTCTTTCCTCAATTGCACGAACGTTTCGCATTCCTCTTTTCAAGAGCCCTTCCATTCCGCTTTGTTCCATTTTCGCGCTGAATAATCGCTTCAGAAAAACGTATGAAGTGTGTCTGGTAAAAATACTGATGTAACCCGCATCAACTTGATTCGGAGAGAAAATGACGTATTCCTTCCTCAAAGAACTTTGACAACAATTAAAAGAAGTAGAAGAAGTAAATCAAACTATATTCTTCACAAATTCCTAAACTACTATCCGGGTAACAGCACTTTCTATTCATCCGTTTGGAGAGAAAAGTGCAGAGTGGTGTTTAGTTGGTTCCGATGCACCAGTAAACGAATGCAGTGAAGTGCGTTGCGTGCAATATTGTCATAAAAGTAGACGCTACCACGATTTTCTGCGTGCAGAACATATATTTCATGTATGTGTCAAAGTTAAAATTTAAAATAGCGCTGTCCTAAGCTCTAATATGTTCCGCGTCGGTAATTACAAGGATATTAAGGAAAGAGACAAAAGTGAAAAAAAATGAACGAGATGACTCTATGCATTAGAAAAAATGAAAATTCAAGCAATTCACAAGTAAATTTGGAGCAAAATAATCCCGTCAGGCACTGTGTTTGCTACCCAGCTGTTTTCCATCAATCCGTCCGACTGCTATATATGAAATATGAAATGTGAAAGAAAATATGAAATATACGGAAGAATGAAATGAACTGGAATGACTACTGATGCCGTCGCTGATGCCAATGAGTAACAGACTTTATATGAGCAGTTGTTGCGATGGAATCAATACGACGAATCGATTGCGGTGTCGGACAATGGGAAGTCGGACTCTTTTATGGATACGTCGAGGGAAAGCGAAGAAGCTGAAGACAGCTGAGCGAAACGGGGTTCTGGCTAGTTCAATGCAGCGTTTAGGGCTTAATGTGGGCTGTAAACCAATATAGCAAACCGATCGACATCAAGAAAAAATCAGAATGGAGTGGAAGAAGAGAAATGGTTCAAGGAAAAGTGCTATGTAAAAGGTTTGATTTTTTACCTTGCCTTTTTTACCCTTCTTTTTTTCTTACTTTTTTAAGGCTTAGTTCGCCATAAAAAGGGCTTAGAAAGTGCGTTACAGTAGTTGATTGCTGTTCAATAATACTAAGATGATCAGAAGAATACCTAGCCAAGAACTGGACCCTTCGATTTCAGAGATTTTCCATTCAGAAAAGTTAGGAAGACTTATCACTCTTCAGAATTTTATAGGCTCTGGAATCTACTAGGACTAAGGAAATGTTGAGATAAAAAATGGGCTCATTCTAGCTCTCGTTTGTTGCTAAAAGAGATTACACCCAATTCTAATTATCACTTTACCCGTTCCAGGAACTGCTGTCGTTTAGAGCTAAATAACGCAATAAACCTTTTCCCTGTCTATAAGAGTTAGCAAGCACATTCAATGATGATACGGGGAGGAGTTGGCCCAACTATCATCGGAATCCAAGTTCAAAAACACTTCCGAAACTAACAAAAGGCTAGTAAAAGCAACAGGAAGTCATCCTGAAAGCGCCAAGATTTTTTAACAGGAACCATCAAAGACAATGGTAATATTGGAAAAAGATAAGATACAGTGCTGTTACTCAGAGGATTTCCAAATTCTGTTCCATTTCTCAGTGAATCGTCATCATCACAAGCTCCATTCAACTTTAAAAGAAAAAACAGGATGACAAAGATGAAATGTGGTGGGAGAAACCGGGTTTGTGTGGGTGAACAACACCCGTACTCAATGGTAAAACGACCGATCAATCGATCGATAGGCGTATTTACACTGCGGGCAGGGGTTAGTGAGAACAAGATGGAACAGCCGGTGGTTGTCGGACGTGTGGGCGACGGGGAGTGTGCGGTTGTGATGGGGAGTTGGGGAGGAGTCTGACTGAGTTGGGTCAGCGAGCGAGAGGTTTAGATGGAAGGACGTGGTCAGTCAGTGAGGCTCATTGTTGACAATGTGACATACGGAACGTACCAGTAACTGTCACAAGAAATGTGTTGGCTTAGACGGTGATCTTAACCAAGCAAGAGGGATTTTTGTGTCGATAATTCTCAGATTCCAGAGAACTGTTCTTTTCCTCAGAGTTCCAAATTGTGATACGATTTCTTTACAAAAATAACTAGCTCTGGATTCCCAGACTTTAAGTAGAATGTCGTAAGCGAATGAAACATAATCGTTTTCTTACTTTGAAGGCCAGTTTTCTACTTTTAGAGTCCACTTAGGAATTGTTTTTCTTTCAGAGATAAACACCACATTTCTAGTCGAGATAGTGATTCATCCATAGAAGATATTGAGCGGATTTCAAAACATTGGATGATTTTCCTCTAGTATGTTAACATCAGGAAGGTCATGCTTAATCTACTTATCGAGTTTTGACTTCTCCCACAAAAGTTTTAAGAGCTTAGAAACTGTTGAATTTGAAACAGTCACCACTAAAGAGACTCCTACAGCACCTTTCTCAAGGTCATCTTCGTTTCTGTAGTTTCCAGAGGAAGATGACATACAAATAATACTTTTAAGTGCGCCTTCATAAGGTTTTATACTCAGTATGGCTGGAATAGCGAAGTGGTAGTGAAGTGTGCATTACTCGGACGGGCCAACCTACCCAGGTTCGACCACCTCTGATGCCCATCAAGCCTCTTGTCCTTCCGGGATAAGAAAATTGATACCAGATTTCTTTGGGACAAGCTTGTTCTCTTCAATCTATGTAGGAGCACCCTCTCATTGCTAAGCAGAATCGACTCGAGTAGTATTAAACGACATTCGTGAAGAGGACGAAAATTCCTCAAACGGTAGTTGAACCCATACGCAAAAAGTTCGAAGACCTTAGTGGATTGTGGATGCAATGAAACGAATCGAACCTAAGAACTGCTGAGATCCGTAAAATAATAATTGTAATTATAGCTTGAATCATTGCGGCTCTTAAGTAGGTAAAGACATCGAAACGTTGACTGCAAGGAAGTTTTGCAACAAACTTGTGTTAGTTTACCAATAAAGCAAGATATATCAACAGAGTGCTCGCCAATGGAGCCAAATTACACGCCCTTCTGTATATCGGACACACACATTGTGGAGAACACTGCAATTGAAAACATCTACACATTCTCATATGGACGACCGAATTAGTGAGGAGGAGCACTCACGGAATATGAGACTAAGGTGTAAAGTAGCAGACGACTAGCCAATAACACACAATGTGGGTGGATAACGTCGAGGAGAAAACAGTGGTTACACCCATCCAGAGGGTCACTCACGGCTTTTATGTTGTTCTAATTAAGCACCATTAATGAGATACGAAAGGCTAACAATAAGCGTAAATTTGATCTCCTTCATAAATCTATCTCATATCGCACCTGCGTCACCATATTCGAGCCACTTTCTGAGAACCACAGACGCATCAATGTCTCATGTGTACTGTGGAGAAGGACAGTTAAGTTACCAATTAGCATTGCAGGAGACGTAGTCGACCGAAGGTGTTGCTAGAATCGTGTGTAACATACTGTTTTCTTCACGAGCAAACACGAGGCTATTAACAAAAAGATTCATTCAATATAACACTGGCCGACGTTTCCGGGGGTTTCGCTTTCTTCAGAGCCTGGAAGAGTCAAATTGACACGCATCCATTCAGTCAAACACTCATAACCTCAACATACAGAGGAATACATAAATAATTAATCGCACAGTGAACAGCTTCGCTTAAATACTCGCAAATCGTACCCGAACTCATGGAATCACCGTCTATACCATTAAAGTAGAAGATTAAAGGATAAACCTCTCGGTGTTGATCAATCCCTGAGTGATGCGCCATATATTCGACTTCATTAAGCATCGTTTGAAGTTGATTGGATGCATATCTGGCCTTT